GATTGCAAAACTGATCACACGGTCGCGAAAGTCCATCGCTGATTGCAAATGTCCATCACCGATCGATAAAGGCCATCACTGATTGAATGCCTCTTTGGCGTTCTGGACACCGGTCATTTTCAGTGCTGTTTATGTCATATTGAAGCTAGTCTGGTTCCCAGACCAAAAGATTCCGACTATTCCTGATGAATCTTAGGTCAGGTAGCCTCCGGTAATACAATGTATTACAATTTACATCACGTGACTAAAACGGGAGGAATTCCTCCTTTTTCCGAAACTGTCAGAAGTTTGCCGAATTCATTTCGTAGACAATCGGATAGTGTCCGAGTATTTCCGAGTATAAAATAGGTTTTATTAACTGCTAATTGCTTATTAAAAACTTTAAAAAACTAGTTGATAATTAATATCCATTGCTTTTATTTAGAAAACTTGAAATTCAACGACGATTTTGCACTCGGATCGTATACGAGGGGCGAACTTTTTGCTGCGTCATGCACTAGTTTGAATTTGACGACCGTTACCGGCATTTTCCAAAACGCGGCGTGGTCTCAATTCGGCTCCGCCTGCTAACAGTGCTGTTTGGGTGTCCAACTTTGAAGATTCCAGGTTAAAATTAGTCTATGTTTTTTTACAGAAGTATTAAACTGTATATCACAACTGTATGATATATGAAGCAAGTGATTTATTTTTAAAAAAATTATCGGAACATTAAAAGCTTTATGTAATAAAGCGAGTTCGGAAACGAAGTCGAGCTTTGGAAAAGGGCCGTCAATGTCGTCATGTTTATTTTTAGCTACGGAGGCGGCCTGACCTACAATTTAGACGTGTAGACGTCGGGGGAAATTGTCAGGTCGGGGAACCAGACAATATTGAAGCTAAAGCGCGCATGCTCAATGACGCAAACAATGCAAGAAGGACCGGTGTGTTTGCTGCCACCAACATCACAAAGTCTCCCATTGTCAAGGTTAAACTGAATGTAGGCCTCTCCTATGAAAAAAAACAGCAGCCTGAATAATGAAAACTGACAGTTCACCATGTTCACAATATTCAGGATTGAATCAAGTTATGAAACCTTTTTAAACCTTGTTTTGTGTGGCAATGACACCATATGTATTATGTGTAACAACCACCTTGTGACTCGTTTTTGATTAATTCAGACAGACATAGAAATTGCATTTTATCACAAAATAGACATTTAGCAATTTGGTATATGGTATATTTGGTATACGGTATATTTTATTCACATTATCACATTGTAACCCGAAGGTCAAATTGCATGATAATTTACAATATTAAAAACATCAAAATCACTGTAAACATGAATTAAACAAATTAGCCTAAGAAAAACCCATACAGGTTGGTTGAGAATCTAAAAAGAAAAAATTAGTACATTGCACATACCTGTAGATTTGAATCTGAAATACACGTCAAAATAGCAACTTTGAAACTTCTTTATTTCAAAAACGTTTGGCCAATATTGATTATTCAAAAAGATTTGTTCTTTTCCCCAGACCTTTCCATAATATTGTAAAGAGAAAAATCGGTTGTTTTTTTTACTTGTTTTCCTTGACGTTGACAGTCATACGTAAATAAAATTGAGAGTCCCAAATTTTCGGACTATAGAAGTATAAGACTATAGACGTAGCTTTGCCATTGGAAATTCTAGCCCTATACAACTAGTAGGCCTACTGGCTATCTTTGCTATGGGCCTACGTCTATTCTTATTTACAAGTGAAGAGTGGAACTCTAGGATATTCACATTTCGACTACGGTCGATCGTACTGAACGAACAAAGTCAACATTGTGTTGAAAGAGAAAAAAAAAAATTATATAGCGCCCAATCATGTTGGTCTGGGTTTGATAACAATTTGTTAAAAGAGAGCCATATTACACTCCTACTTCTAGGGTATGCTAGACTATTCCTCCATGGCTAGACCCTTATTTCGTAAACATGGCAGTATAAACCGGTTTTATACCGCCACGTTATGGTGTTAATACTAATGCCGCCCAACGGGAGAGGTCTAGATCGTGGCCCTTGGCTTAGGCTACTCACCGTGCACTCCCCAGCCGGCAACTTGTCCACCGCGCACGGCCGAGCAAAATCAAAACGAGAAGACGGTGTTTCTTTTGGAAGAGCACGACGGCGACTATCAAAACAAGGTGGCATGAGCCAAGTATTCCAGGAAGTGTCGCTAAGGCCAAAAAAAAGTCTCCGGTTTCTGGTATGCGCCAAACTCACTGGTTTGACTGGAATCCTGCTGCTGCACAATTTTAACGTGTTTTTAGATGGGGTTATGATCGAGAATAAGCTTTATGTGGCCTCTCTGGACTCCCATATATTTTCACTAAGTTTAGACAGGCACCATTTGCAGTCATCAGCCGACATTTGAAGCAAAAAAGTCAGGTAAAAAAAAAAGCCGCGTCGCCGCACCACTTTTTGGACAAGCTCCATACTAGAAACCGGAGACTTTTTTTAGTTGGCCTAACCGTCACACTCGTAGTCGTACCGTACGTACAAACTCTCGGGCCGTTTAGGTTCGAACGAAACCGAGGCCGGGGTTTTCCACTGTAGCGTGAATTTAGGACTCAATAAAACACGGAGTCATTGGCAGTATTGCGCATGCCTCATTGAAGATTGTGAACGTTCAAGCAACTAAAGGATAGACGGGATAACACTTCATAGGAGTCCGATTTTCATTATGACACCGCATTCCCCGCCAGATTCCTGTGCCCAGCCTATCGATGACCTCCATTACTCTGTATTAATGGAGATCAATAGAAGTGCCAGCTCCCTAATAAATTCAAATTCATGCACGGGATACGCATAAATGGGCCGTGAGTCAAAGAGCGAAGGCAGCCCATTGAAAACTAGAGGTCCAAACAGTCATTTTTTTCTCATTTTCACCAGGATTTGTCCTATCTTAGGAAAAGTCCCTGAATTCGTCATAGGTATTACTTTCTAGTCTAAGTGCTTTTTTTATACAGAAATATTGGTTTTGTCACATGCGCACAAGGTCCAGGGTATGGAATTCCATCTCTGCCAAGTTACACGGCGCATGTTTGGGAGATCCAATGTCGCATTGTCGCATTGTCGCATAGTCGCATTGTCGCATTGTCGAATTTTATAGGGGCCTATCTTGAGTTTCGTCAAATGAGGGCGCGCTCAGCCTTGGTGTTTTTCTCTGCTTGCTAGCCTGAGCTGAGGCTGTGCTTCAATCATGGACGATATTTTACGTCAATGTGTTTAATAGGAAGGGGCGTAATCATACATGTCGCCACTACATTTTAAATTAAATGGAATGGAGTTTGGCCGCCACCATGCGTTTAAATTTTTATCAGACTTGTGTTTTCTTATAAAGAAGTGGTTTTCTGGCTAGGAATATAGCAAATAAGAACCGGTTTTGTGCAAGCAAAATTCAGGGAACAATCTGTTGATACTAATAACTTGTTGGAAAGTTCCAAAGTCATTCCAAGAAAGTTGCCGCAGTGAATTAGGGTTTAAAACAAGGGAGGAGGGTGGGATTTGCTATCAGCATCAGCAGGTCCGTTCCTCATTCCTTTCTTTTTATGGGATGTATGATAAAATTGGAGTACGAGGGGCTCTGCGAGCTGATGAATTTTTTGAAAACATTGTATTTGCAACCAGCTAGGGAAGATTTCCGTTTAATTAAGACTTAGTAGCCAGGAATTTGGAACAGGGGGGGGCCCAAGTCCAACTGGCCTTTACAAACCCCAACCAGGGGCGCGGGTGGAACCAGGATTGTCCTAAAGGGGGGGGGGGGGTTGAAATGTAACCAGCAGCAATGCTGAAGGCAAGTTGTGGCGGATACGCTGAAGGCCAAAGAGGAGGGGGCATTGATGAAAAGTATGCGAGCGCGTGGCGCGAAGCTGTAATGCCGCCCTGTGTCGGGCACGCTTAAAAGCCCCTGAAAATTTTGGATTCTAGATGTTCTGTGGTGCGATCTCAGGCATTATCAGACCACTTTAACCATTTTTTTAAGCAAAAGATCATTATTTAAACATCGAGTTTGGAGTCATTGAATCAGCTATCCTGAGAACTTTAAAATCAAACTGTAGTACATGTAGGCTACAAGATTTATTTGGGGACAAAAAAAGTGAGTGGGACAAACCCCCCCCCGATCCGCCCTTGGTACTTGACGACATTATAACCGTAATGCCGCGGAGACGCAAAATTCTAACAAAAGTTCCCAAACATGTTTTCCTTGTTTCGGACCTACGGGCAAAATATTAAAAAGTGGGGGATGATTTATAACACATTGATCATCCCCCAAGGTCAAAAAGTGTGCGTGTGTGGGGGGGGGGGGGGGGGATATCCCCCATCCCTACGGTAGCAATAGCCTATATTATAAATAGGCCTATTAATAGGAGAGTGACCTGTCACGTGCGCATGCCAGAGGGATTAACCAATACATGTTATAGGGAAAAGGAGTTTTGAGATGGTCTTGCACTTTGCACTTGAACTTTGAAGGTAAGACCTTGTTCAGTAATTATGTGTTTGTAGGCTAGTGTTTGACTTAAGTTTTGTGCAATTCGAGTGCACGTCGTCGATCGAATAGATGCGAGTTGGTTTGTGTGGTACCGAAGTGGACTGGGGCTACTAACGCAATCCACTGCATCTCTCTCAATCTCATATAGAGCAAGGGTCCTTAATCAATCCCGGTACATACCCGTTATTTCGACAAAACGGTGAATGGTTCTTTTACCGTTTTTGTTTTTGACTAAAACGGTAAAACAAAATAACGGCATGTACCGGGATTCTATACATTACTAGGGTCTGCCATTAATTTTCGTTGTTCTGGAGAAGGTGCAATTATAAATTTGGTCAAGTAGGCCGTCAATCGAATGTAGGATTGTATATCTTTGTTTCCGGGTACTAGTTTTCCAGCTGAAATTCGGTTTATGCTGAGCTTATTGGGACATTTATTGATCAATTCAGGATCGTTGACAGAATAAATAAAGTACATGTACACCCGTACCCATTGGAAGTCCGGCAATATTATTGTTTCAGTCATAAAAGTTAAAGACTGTGTAATCTTATACATGTATACGTATCCAAAAACATTTAAAATGCACAAATGCGGATTCATTTTTGTTTGTGCAAATAATGCATTTCTACAAAATGAACTGCAGTGACAATCTTTGATAAAATGTTCAATTCATAGTAACAAAAAGGAATGTTCTCAGATAGAAATTATAATCACTTCATCCTGATGTATAAGTTTGTCTTCTCAATATTTGATTCCATTCGAACACATCCAATCATGCACCAGATATCGGGGTATACAGGGCGAGTCATAAAGAAAGTGATCTGGAGTAATGATTGTTTTTCTTCAAAGGCAATCAAATTTGATGCACCAATAAAGTATTTCTCAAAACATCATGCTCTTCCACTCACCTGACTAAAATAAATACTGAAATTGCTCCATGCTATCAGAAGTTATGATGTTTTTACTAAAAGAATCTATTTTTATAGCTGTCCATAGAGTGCCATTGGAAGCTATTGAGCTGAGTGGGAATTACAGATTGCACACATGCTTTTAAATACAAATGAAATTTTAATAATTTGAGTCAAAACCGAAATATTACTTTTACTGTCAGATTTTGTGTTTTTAATACGAGGAACAAGTTGACCCTTTTTCCCCCTGAAATATTGATTTTTGTCTTTTGCCTTTTGCAAATTTTCATGAAATGGAGCAACGTAATTAAAAAAATACTTTCTCTTGACTCCCTCTATATAGCGAAATATATTTCGGCACAATAAAGGCACATACATGGTTACGTTTCATACCTAGTGTGGACATTCCTTTTTCTTCGTGTAGACTCATTGTACTCAAACTGTGAAAACTCTTTCAACCCATTTTCCCCCTATGATTCCCTGGAATATTTCTCTTCATTTTGCGACGGATAAACCTCTTAACCTGTTTTCCAGAGAGGGGAAAACCTTGTGTGGACGTGAGCAAGTCCACATAGCGTATCTGAAAACTGGTTTATGTTGACATCTGTTGATCGGAAGTCCACACAGTGAATGTAATGCTTGTACACCATCCATGCAGCATAGTACATCTGGTCAGAGCCCTTTCTAAAACAGCTTGGCAAGTCATATGTAATTAACATTTGACATCATGACATATTATGTTCATCAGTGATGGCATAATCAATACAAAGTACTGGGTAGGTACATGTACACTTAGCTGCATCAAGAAGTGAAATATTTTAATGTTATAGTAAAATAAAAACTTTAAACTGGTACTGCAATGAGCTACAAATTAGGAGAAGAAAAAATCGACCATGATTTTCGCTTTGGAGAACTAAAAGAACATTGACAACTCATGGTCAGCCATTAGTCATTGGCCCCTACATTGGGAGTCCAACGCATATGTTGACCAGAGACTTAATCATATCCACAAATGCCTAAACAGTGGAAGTAATAACATTTCACAATGTACCAATTAAAAACTAATCATGACAAAAAAATAATTAATGAGAGAAACCTCACACCCTGAAGAAGGACGTGTCCGAAAATTCGGCTACAACTTCTCGTGAGCACTATGCTTAAATTTACATTTTCTTCTTCACTAGTGCTACGCAGCACCCCATTTGTTAGTACATGTAATCATACAATATTGCAGATAGATTGTATCTTTTATGGAATGACTCAAGCGTCATCCAATATTTTAAATAAGGCACTTCAACAAATCACAGAAAATTCACAGATCAGGTGACATTTGAATTTCATTCTACATTTGAAAATTTCATACGACACATAGACACAGAAAAATACAAAAGATATAAGTATATGTAGTATATATTAAAAGTTTGGTCACACACCACGTTCGAAAGGATTTGTTTTTGGCATTACAAAAAAATAAAAAATAAACAAACAAACAAGACTTCGTGCGAGACCGATGATGGCCCCCTTTTGTATCCTCTTGAAAGCCCAAGTGGCAGGGGGAGTCGCCACATTCGCGTACTGGTTAATGTAGTAATGGCTCAAAGTATATGCATGACTAATTTTATGCAGTGTGCAAAAACCATTGATCTTCATTATGTATCTGTTATGGAGATCAATGGCAAAAATCCGTAATGCCTAGCGCGAGCGTCAAGCGCCGACAGTAATTCGTTCGAAGGTATCTCCAAGTGGTCTCCCTAACTTTGTATTTGTTACCATTGAGGGTGTAGGTTAACAGTAGTGGACACCTATGTTTCAGAGGAAAAGGTCTACAAATAAAGCAGAAGGTGAATGGACGACAGAGAACATGCCAGCGTTGCATGGGAAAGAACAGCACAGGACAGAGTACAATGGGGAAAATTGTTGAAGAGGCCTAGCTTGCTCCTGCATGTGAATGAAATAGATATACATGTACCGGTATACGTTGAACTTACATAATTTCACAATGTTTCAATTGTACACTTTTACACGGATTTAACCCGACAATTCAAAGTGGTAAAAAAGGTCATATTTGGTACAATATTTATTTGTGTGGTTTGATTGTTGACCTACAAATTGCTGAAGAAACCTTCATTTTGCACGCGAGTGAAATTGAAGTTGAACTTATTTCACATACATGTATTTTAATTATACAAATTTAACCCGACAATAAATCCATTTTGAATGGCAACAACAATATTTGGCACAATATTTATTTGTGTTGTTTGATATTTCACATACATGTATTTCAATTATACAAATTTAACCCGACAATAAATCCATTTTGAATGGTAACAACAATATTTGGCACAATATTTATTTGTGTTGTTTGATTTTTGACCTACGAAATCGTTACCAATGATTCTATTTCAGTGGTTTACATGTACATTTATCTAAATTATTCAAACACAGACCGAATAATGGGGTCGAAATAAACAATCAAAGACAATTTTAGAATGCACCAGATTTCTAATGATGCACACAAGATTTTGTTCCAGTCCTGAATTTTTAATTGGGCGGAAATTAAATGAGAACGGGAAAAATTTAATATTGCATAAACAAAATCGCACACACGAAAAAAAAATATATATTTTACGATATAAACATTATGCAAATCTGAGACAAGATTATTTAGGAGAGTTATGGAAGACTTGCAACTTTTTAAAAAGTTTTACCCACACTGAATATGGTTAAACATGGGTGATGAACAAATATACATAAGTGAATTAAACACCTGAGAGATGCTTTCTCATGTGTCACGCAAGTTGTAATTGTCGAAGCTGTTTTTCAATTAAATATCCCTATCATGCATGTCAAGCAAATGCCTTTCACACATTAGTTATTAATTTATAGTCTTCATAGTCTGAGTTATACCTCTCTTAAAAAAAAACTTAAAAAGAAAAGATCTCTTCTGAGTTGACAGATGCACATATGTTGGCCGCAAAGAGTTACATTTCAGTTCAGTAATTCCACACTTTATCCGCTAGCTTAGGTTTGTCAACCTGCCTTAATGCACCGATGAGCTCTTTTCGCATCTTGTCCACCTTATTTCCACTTTTTTCACTCCACTGTACCAGCATTTGGAATATTTGCTCATTGACCCCTCTATGGTCAATCTTAATCTTGTCGACGTCTTCTTTTTTGAACTTCAGGTATGAGGCCAACTGCTCCCACTCTCCCCCGATGTCTTTGGCCAGCTCTCTGAAATAGATATCACTCATAATGGGCGGTCTATCTTCTGTGTGTACAAAACAACAGAAACCAAAAAAGTACACATCACAAAAATATACTACATGTACATGAAATGAAATGATAACTTCAGTTCAAATTTACTCACAAAATTAAGCACTTGGCAACACTACTGATGATGCAGGAAGGCAAGCAGACGGCATCAAGTAAGCAAACAATGAATATTAAAGTTGATTACAGTCAACTCTCATTAGTACAAACTCTGTTAATACAAAATTCTGGTTATAACAAACATAAAGCCTTGGTCCCGACCGTGCATTTATGTGCACAATGAATGGGACTGATGTTCCTCTTAATACAAAATTCTGATATAACAAACAATTTTGCTAGGTCCGAACGAGTTTGTTATAATGAGACTCGACTGTACTGATAATTTATCAAGGTTGACTCCCCCCCCCCCCTTCTTGTGGCAGAGTTTCTGTTTTCAAAGATTCGTGTCTGTTGCACATGATCAGCAAATTTACAACATGGTAGCACCAGTACAATTATTGGATCTGTACAGGAGACAAATGTGCCTCAGAATAACCAGGCAAGTCACAAAACTAAATGAGGAAATTCAAATCATGTCAAGACTCTGTGCCGTGTTTTTCAAAATTTTATGGCACACATAGAAAATGCAAAAAAAAAAAGGGAATCAGCTGATCCAAGGAAAAATTGCACTCCTGAATAAGACACCAACATCCATTTCACCAATAAAGCAGGCCTCGGGTCGAACTGCGTTTTTCTTGCGCCGCAACACAACTAGCCCTGGTCAAACCATTTAGCAATAGTGTCCGTGATGGTATCTGGTTGTAAAAACTTAAACACTAGCCGTGCCCTATACATGTACACAGCAATGATGTAGTGCCTTGATGCTGGGCCTTGGCCTTAAGGCTGCCTTAAGGCTGGATTTTAGGGCCTTGGCCTTGGCCGCGAGGCTTGAGGGCAAAAGCCTTGGCCTTGGCCTTGGCCTTGAGGGTTCAGGGCCTTGCAATTTTGAGTCAAGGCTCTTCAAGGCCCATAGATTTTTGCATTTTCCAGATAAATCCGTTCAAAATTTTGCTGTTACCATTTTAATTGTATTACCATGGAGGAGGGAAGCACCCTATAAATGTGTGTGTTGGGCACACTTCCACTTTTGTAGCATCACATCTTGTTACCATTGTAGACTTGCTGCAAAAATATTCCGTACACTTGTGTGGATAATGAGAAGATCACTTTAATTGCATATAACTATGGAATAGATCTGATTGGTTGTATATGTCTCCCTAAAAAGTGCTAAAGATTTGCATGTATCAGTTTTAGATAATGCTGATATTTCTGACCATGTTGGCCCAGCAAATAAAAATATCCCAAATCAGTTTCTTGGACCCCCCTTTTGTTACACTTGGGAGAATTGTGTGTCAATATAGAAGTAAATCATTATTTTGTTTAGTAAAACCATATTGAAGACCTGAACTTATACTTTAATAGATACAGTGCTGTCATAAAACGGTGTAGGCCTATGCGAGCATGTTGATTGCAATTAAAGAAATGTTGTTCTTCGTAACGAGCAATTTGTGATGATAAGGGCGGATCCAGGGGGGCCAAAAGGGGCCATGCCCCCTCCCCCCAAAAAAACAAAACCATTTTGTTTTATGTGACGTCGTAATAAAGGCAGGCAATGAGTACACCACCATCTTTTCCTCAAAAAACATTGGTTAAAATGGTCAGAAATTGCCTCAAATCGCACCACAGAGCATCTCGAATCCAAAAAATTTCGGGGCCCTTAAGCGGGCCCGAAGCCAAAGCCGTAATTTTTTGACCCACTTTTGGGGGGGACCAACATTTCTTTACCCCCCCCCCCCAAATTGTGTTCTGGGTCCGCCCTTGCGTGATGATGTGTCACTCATGTGACTATAATTAGTTCTATATCAGTGTTCATTTCATAAAACAGGGCCTTGGCCTTGGCCTTGGCCTTGAGGGTTAAGCCTTGGCCTTGGCCTCGAGGCTTGAGGGCCAAAGCCTTGGCCTTGGCCTTGAGGGTTAAAGCCTTGGCCTTGGCCTTGAGGATCGAAGCCTTTGCTCCAACACTGGTACACAGTTAAACAGCAATCTCACATAGCTACAATTATGCAAATCAGTTGATAAAGAACAAACTTGATGCACAAAATCACAATGGAATGGACTTCTCTGAGCCAAGTACATCTTCTGTATTCTTTATCATTTTTAAAATTTCCCAAAAATAAAAATAATAAAACTGCTGCAAACTGCTTATTTACCAGATTGACCTGAAATATACCAATCAAAACAAATAAAGGTTGCCTGACTTTCTGATCTAAACAACCTAAGGTTTTTCTTCAGAGGCACAATTGTCTCCAAAGATCTTGTTGAGATTGGAATGTCAAGTGGCCTTTAATTTTTCTGATTTCCCAAATAATATTAAAAGCAGCAACAAGCCACACAATCATTAATGCCTTCACTTACCATGAGGGGAATTTTCTTCCTCAGAGCTTTCCTGCTTGAACATGGCTTGATATTTGTCTGTTCTGATAAGAGCTTGAGGATTCTCAAAGCGGCAAGGAACTTCTGTCTTTTTCAAGCATTCATCCAGTGGTAGAAAGTGGGGAACCTTGTGTTTGTTGGGACACAGGACACTAATGCAGTAGTGGATCCGCTTTATCCACATGTCTTGCAAGTTATGTAGGTTCTCTTCAACAAAGCCATGTACCTGTTGAAGAACGTATGAATTCTTTTTACTGATTCCACCTTTTGACTCTAACTCCTTGCAAATGCAACAACAAGTGCCTTAGATGCGTGTCAAAAGTTTAAAATGTACAACAGTATAATGTATAACAGCGCTACTGCAACAGACAACATTTGACTTAATTTAAAACAATATTCCCTACAAAAAGCAAAAATTCCCCAATTCAGAAGAAAATTTTCATTCTACTAACAAGTTTTCTATATATGTATACTTGCTTCAAACAATGCCAATAATGCCCACTCTGAGAAAAAACTGTGACTTAAACACACCACATCATTCAAAATTTAATAAACAAACCACTGTAGGTTTGATTGTGCTAATTCTTGAGGTACTTTTGATAGGTTGTTTTATATCCACAGCAAAACAAATTGGAGTGAACACAGAGAAGTATTTCCCTAAAAAGTTCATATCTGTTACTTGCTCGAGTTTTGATACTATTTTGGTGCCACTACAAAAGTACCTTGGATGTGACATCTGGTGAGGGTGTTTTCCTCATATTTGTCTTCTCGATTTTTGAGTGTCGTCTTCGGGTATGAACGACTGGTGCCCGCATGACACTCACCTATGACAATCAGGAAAGGTCACTCATAAAAATGTTCATGTGAGAAAACAGAATTTTGTCTAATTTAAAAACGCTTAAAGAACACAAACTAAAAGTCTTTCCTCTTATCCGCTCCGTACACAAGTACCCCCTCACCGGCAAAGAAAGTACAGTTGGGGTGACCGACCAACGCCATCTTGCTTGACTTCAATTCATTTGCCGCGAAGCGTGGCCACTGTGTGTACATAGTACAAATCCTGGTGTACGTGTGTCACACACAAGGAACGGTGCGCGTCAACCAGCCCATGGGACGTCATTGCTAGGTGAAAGGGCGCCCTCTCTGTCGGCGCACAGAGCCCATACAGTAAAAGGTTAACTAATTAAACATAATTTTTATAACACAAAAATTATTGAAAAACGAACCTACTCAGTTCTTTTTATCATGTTTTATGTTGATCCAAGACAATTGTGTTACACATGCATTTACAATAACATGCATAATTAAAGCACCCTGTACAATTTTACAAAACATGTACATGTATTTATATTTTTATTATGAGTGGCAATTACATGTATACAAAGGAATGGACTTTTCACTTGTTAAAATGGATGTGCCTACCAGGCTGAAAAAAACCACTCAGTGTAAGGGGCAACAAACTAAGACACAAAGATGGGCACAAGGCAGGGTCACTCATTTAACAGAAAAGCACACCTGAGGAGTGCATAGAGGGATGTGCTATGGACAATGATGGACGACCCATGATCTGGAGACATCGGGACTTGTACACTTTGTCAGCACAGATGTAGTTATTTTACAGGGTGTATAGAAAAGGAAACCCAGAATAACAATTTATTCAATTTTGACACAGTGATTTAACCACTCTCATTGTTGAAGTTAACCCTTTTATCATGGCTCGATGCCTTCAACGTGGCCACCACCTCTTTCCACACAATGCTCTGCACGAGGTGTAGTCCATTTCAACATTTGGGGTGCTGTGGTCCAATGGTTACAGTGTGGATTTGTGTGCCGTGGTACATGGGTTTGAATCCTGACCGTGGGAACATGGTGATTGTGCTCTCAAGCAAGGCACTTTACCATTATTGCTTCGTCCTTCGGATGGGATGTAGAGCCGTAGGTCCTGTGTGTTGTGTAATGCACATTAAAGAACCCAGTAACACTAAGAGAAGGGGTTTGCCCCGGTGTTTCTGTCAGTGGCTGCAATGTGCGCCGCAGCACCTTGTCAACCCTTATAAGGTGCTACATAATCGGTCTCATATTTCTTGTATACTTTATTTACCTTTCTTTAAAAATAGACATAATTTCCAGCGCCTTGAGTACCCAACTGTTGGTAGATACGTGCGCTATATAAGACTCCCGTTATAGTTATTATTATTATTATTATTATTATTATTTGCATAACAAACCAGCTAGCAATCTTAGCCAGGTAAAAACGTGGCCCAGTACAGGTTCAACCCTTGACAAAGTAACAAAGAGTGCTCAGTCATCCGTGGCCACAGACACACAATCAAGGTATCATCGGAAAGAGGACACAGTGGCGTTTCACATGATCTTTAACTTATTTGAAATTATTTATTAGAATTTTTAAAATTTACATTTACATCTGGGTTTTTTACACACCCTGTTTCTCTACTATATCCCCTTCTCATCAAGTTTGTTTTGTTAAATTAAAAACAAATGCATTCAAGAGTTGCTCTTGCTTAACTTGAAAGAACTCATGGACCAGTTACTTACTTTAACGTATGCAAGATCTTTCTTGCGCACCATTTGCAGCACAAATTCATGTTGGGCATCTACAAAGAAGTTTGCCGCATCGTACTGTAGCCCAGGGTTGTTTCCACCTTTATTTTGAGACCATCTCAATGCTCGTACAACCAAACGATGGAACAATGCATCTTTGGGAAATAAGAGCAAAAGTTTGCAATTACTTTTTGTGAGACAGACCAATCAGTTAATTGCCAAATGTATGCAGAAAGCTTACTGTTCAGCAAATAGAAATTTGATTCATGCAGTTGCACATTTTGCCAATGGGGTCGACTAATATTGGTCCTTATGGCTTTTTGGGGATGCAATTCTTTACAGGTACAATTACTGCACCCAATAATTTATTATGGAAACTGTGACGAATTTGTCCATAGTTCTGCATTCAAATTTCCAGATTTCACAGTGACAACCACCATGACAATTCAGACATGGAAAACATGCTCCAAACTTTAAGCAACCAGTTGTGCAGCACTAGCTGTACCGGTGTGTATTAATCATGTTAATCAACAAAATGTGTGGTCTAGTGTAGGTGTAGTCTCGTTTATAATTCCTATTTCAACTACACAAAACTGTACAATGTTTCCTTACCTGGGAGGAATCCATAGAAGTCCACGTAGAACACGCTTGCGTTCTTAGGTTGCTGCGACTGATTGCTTGTTGATGTCTGCCGTTGCAGCATTGAAGGCACGTAGTACGAGACCTCATCTTTAGGACTGGTCTTTGAATGCTGTCGCTGAAATGTTGGGGGTGAAGTAACAGCTGCAGAGGGGCTACTGCAATCTTCCTCTTGTGTCTTTGTGGAAATTAACAAGAAAAAAATGGCGCCCCTTCAACAAAGATATTGACTAATTTGGGAACCGCCAACATAGGTACAATTACAGCACCCAATAATTTATTATGGAAACTGTGACAAGTTTGTCCATAGTTCTGCATTCAAATTTCCAGATTTCACAGTTTTTAATTATTTTTTAAGTTATTGTAATATCTGTAAAGCGTCTGGGAGCATTCTATTTAAATGGATTTGGCGCTATATAAATGTATTTTATTATTATTATTACTATTATTATTATTATAATTATTATAGGGCTGGACAGCTCAGGTGGTACAAGCACCGGAACGGTCATCCAGAGGTCCCAGGTTCAAGCCCCACTCCAGTCACTTTCTTTGTTCAACTTTTCAATGAAAAATATGACTGAAATACAGTTGTCACTAAATCTTTTAAAATTCCAGCAGAACGTTTCCGTGTGTATTCGCCACAAGTGCAAGAAGAGGCAATTCTTTTGCTGTAAGGGTACGTTTCCATGAACACAAATGAGTACTTTTTCCATTATTACCAGCTCATCAGTTTGATGGGTACACTTATTCCCAAATACTTTTTGCTGTCAGACTAGACATTTAACATTTACCAAGGAATATTCTTTTGCTGCATGTTCCTCTACAATCGGTTAAAATTCCAGCAGAAGAACAATTCTGTGCATGCTTTGCCATAAGTGCAAAATGAGGCAATTCTTTTGCTGCGAGTATGAGACTATGAATATGCGTACATTTTCACATGAGTATGTGTACTTGAGAAGGAGTACAAGTACAAGCATGAGCACTTTAACACTACCAACGGTCAATGTAAACTAAAATATACCTGATCAACACGCTCACAAAGTAGATCAAACTTGTCCATCAGATCCAGCAGGGCCTTTTTGTGGGGAAGGATCTCTCGCCACATGTAATCAATAAGCATATCCTCCAAAATGCCAACTTCCTTGAGGCGTTTCCAAGACCGGACGTGGTCTGCCATCTTCATTGAGAGAACAAATGTCTCAGTATTTTGAAGATAAATTCAACACAGTAACGCTTTCTCAAAAATTACATTTCTAAAATTGTAAAACAGGCGTTTCATACAGACGTCATACAGACTGTGGGCAGCAATTGAAACAGTCAATCAGTCACAACTCCCTAGGGGGTGTGCAAAATCATATTAAAAATTGGAGGATTCAGGACTGTTAGGGCTATGTCATTGCAAGTCATCTAGTCTGCACTCTGCAGTTATTTCACAAGCTATTTAAATGACCTGCAGCATACCTTTGTCACTATTCATCCACTGTTACTTATGAACTGAGTTGTGGTTTGACATTAAATTTGTGATGACTTATAATGGACTTAAAGAGGTTGTGAAATGCTCGAAGAATTTTCCGTCATTTTTCGGGGAAAAAAGCCTAATTTGTGTAAAAGTCTTCGTCACTGGGGGCAGCAAACAAAACATAGTAAATCGTGACGTAATAAACAGGACTCGTTTATACTACGCTGCATCGGGAGTCCTGTTTATTACGTCATGAGTTACTGTTTTGTTTGCTGCCCCCAATGACGACTTTTACACAAATTGCACGTTCGGGTTGAAACGGGACCTGAAAAACAGCTCTCAAAAGTACCCCTTTGTACTCATTTCCAGTGTTGGAGGTCTCGAGGCCGGCCTCGGCCTCGAGGCCGGCCTCGAGGCCGATTTTCATGGCCTCGGCCTCGGCCTTGGCCTCGGGGGTGCAAGGCCTCGGCCTTGGCCTCGGCCTCGGAGCCTTCCGGCCTCGGCGAATCGGTCGAGGCCGGCTCGAGGCCGCCCATTTTGATGTGTTTTCTATTCTAATTAATTAATTTTTTACCGTATCAAACCCTCGAGATTCTGCCGCAGTGGGTTCCGTGAAACGAACGCATATACAATGTACGCACGAATGAACTGGAAATGGTTGCATTGAATGTACTCACGTACGTAGCATCTTCGCCTAGCCTGCGCTTCAGCTTTCCACGTGCGTGCAAGCGTTATAACTGTTACCGCGTGCCAGACTACATAAGTCTGGCACCAATCCCATTTGCGTACAAAACATGTGGTAGTAGACTAATCTGGTTGCAGTGTTGTACAAAAATAATTTTCTCGTTTCGCCTCTGTACCCCGACCTTTAAAAATGATTTGCGGCAAACAAGGTGCGGCAAGCTTAATCATTTCTTTTTATAGGCCACTGTTTCAGTAAAAGTCTGAACTTTCTGGGTACAATCCAGTGTACTAGTCCGTACCATTTTTTTTTCATAAAGATATGATAAAAACAATTACGATTTATCAAAGTAGACTTTATTTTTACACGGTGATTTGAAAGTTCCGGCTCACACGGTAATGTTTGGCGCAAATGGTCGATATGATATGGAAAGCGCGATTTCAAAGTTCGTTTTTCCATCCAAATGAATGCAAAGTTCTGAATGAATGTTTTAATAATAGGAGTCAGTATTCCTCGTGGTACCAGGATTTTTTTTTTGTATTTTTAGAGCCATGTTGATACTTATTACATGTATAAGCACGGTTTGAAATCGACTAATTTTGCGTGGTTACAGATATACGGCCAAAACCTCTGGACTCCCTACCTCTTGCCATGATCTTAAAATACTTTGAAGCCAAGTTGGATTCAAATCGGATGATCCGAGAATTCATGGTCATTTTGATGAACTGAGTGATATCATGCACGCATGTTCCGTGTTGCCGTGTTGTTTGGAGCGGGATTGGCCATTGACAGACTTTGTCTGGTACCGCGGTATTAACAGTGATGATGCGTGGACACTTATCCCGTTGTGTGAAGCGGGATTGGAACTATGCTTTGCCCGTGCGTAACGGCGAGCCGTCTGGCATTGTCTTGTCGCATCGCGGTGTTTGCTCGGCGCGCGCCTGGACAGTGCGAAGGTCAGGGGGGGGGGGGGAGGTCGTAACTTTTTGGTTATGAGTGGTAAAAACCTGATTCAAAAATCAAGTTGTTGTTTATTTAATGGGGATTCCTATGATATTAAGCATTTTGATAGGTTTTGAAAATAAGATTTATAAAACATGCTAAAAGTAAATGATGTAAATCTTACAGAATAGAAACTCAAAATTTGGCCATTTAAATTGTTGTAAATCAAAGGGCAAACACCGATGAGCCTGATTTAAACGTCATTGATTTTGTTGTGTAATTTTCTTTCAGTGATACAAAACTTGAGATTTCTTTCTTTAAAAAATAAAATTCGCCGGACTCCCTACAAGAGGAAACCCATTGCAAGCTGTAAATTTATAAGCCAGGCACTCCAAAACTCAGTGAATTCAACTAAAAAGATGTTAAAACTCCAACATAATCTTATCCTTGTTTTAGTGATTTATATTATATTACGTGTTTTGATAGCTGGCCTCGGCCTCGGCCTTGGCCTCGGAGGTGTTGGCCTCGGCCTTGGCCTTGGCCTCGCGGTTGTGGCCTCGGCCTCGGCCTTGGCCTCGAAGGTTGTGGCCTCGGCCTTGGCCTCGGCCTCGGAGGTTGTGGCCTCGACTACAACACTGCTCATTTCATGACAGACACAATAGTCGTTTTTATTTCATCACACCTTAGGCTACATATACCCGAAAAATGACGGAAATGTCTTCGAGCATTCCACAACCCCTTTAAACTCCAACTGTGGAACTACTATTGTCTTCCTAAATTTGAAAGGGGAAGGAATTTGACACTGTACACATAGATAATAAGGCCAAAATAAAAATAGTCGGTCTCTGGTCAGACCCAAGTTCCGGAATTGATGCGGCGACGTGGTTTTTTTTTTTGGTGGTTTTTTTTTTTTTCAAGCTTGTATTGTACAGACAAGGTGGGTACTATTTTGCTTTTTTGTGTCGTTATACATTGGTGTCCTCCATAATTTGCCTTGGTGCCCTTTATCATTTGCCTTGGTACAATTTCCCCATTCCTTGGTACAAAAATTTGAGGAGGCGCGGCAATAGAGGCGCTGTTGTAGCTTCCGTGTTAATTTGAAAAAAAAAAAAAGGTTGACGCGCGTGATTAAAATCGACACGCGCGCTGACCAGAGACCGAGTATTTTTTTTTTGGCAAAATAGTAAGTAATACTATATTACTAGCAGGTCTAACAGGGCGACAGGTTCTGATATTAAATTTGTTGTATAGGGCGACACACCTTATTAGGGCAATGTGTCGCCCTATTATGAAAACCGGCATTTTGACAAGGGCTAGGGCTAGGGGTTAGTGGTTAGTGGTTAGGGTTAAGGCTAGGGTAGATTTTGTGCACAAGTCTATGCAAGTGTCGCCCTATTGTGGTTGTAAGTATAATAATAAAAAGGATAATAATGAAATTTATAATTCGCAAATTGCATAACAATGTTCAAATGTGCATAACAATTACAATAAATTCAGTTTAAAATTCTGCAATTGAAGATTGAAAAACTACTGTTCACTATAAAATTATACAATAATAAAATCAAAATGACAAAATGGACAGACACAGAATCAAAATAAAAGTATTTTATACAATTATTTACAAGTGTGCCTTCTGGAATAAAAACCAGTTTAACTGTCACTTGGCATGTGACAGTTAAAAATTATTTTGTCAGTTCATTTTGTCCAGGAAGTTTTGTGTGTGATTTCACCCTCTGACTCACGAAGGACCAGTGAAAGACGTTTATATCAATATATATCATATTACAATATGCTGAGCCTACCTGTTTTCTTGGAGGTGTAATGGTGATGACTTTCTTGAGCGCATCAATCAGCCACTGTGGATCCAGAATGACCACATCTTTAAGCGCCTGGCTTTTCTTGTCACCATCCCCGCCGAAGTATATAATGTGGCCAAGATCGTGATAGAACTTCAGCATCGTCAATAGTTCTGTTTCATCTTTTACACCAAAGTCATCCTTTACCTAATAAGACAGGTAAATTAAGCACATTATTTATGAAAAAGCCTTCTCTTCAGCACTTACAATAGCCAATCAGCACAGGGTAGAATGAAAGGAGAGTTTGTTTTGGCAAATATGGCAATGGGAACAAAACATGGCAAAGGGTATCATGTTAAATGGTGTACAAAAACTCACAATAAAAAAAATTGCTACTGCAATGAACCAATGATTAATACATAAATAGATTATAAACATTATCATTTGAAGTGTTTTTTGGTGATTCACACTTTGAACGTACAATACACATCATGTTTGTGTCTGCAAGAAGTCGACTGTTTCTCCTGCCGGTATGTCAGTATGCCACAGCCACAAGGAAAGGTTTTCTGTTCATAAGATGGGATTTGCGATCTTCACTGGCTCCCAATATCGTCTAGAATCATCTACAAACTGATGCTCATTGTCTTCAAAGCACTTAATGGGCAAGCATTACATCTTGGACATGCTTAATATATACAAACCATCTCGCAACCTTCGATCTGGAAATAAATATCTTCTTCAAGAAGTCAAATCTCATCGTACCTGGGGGGACAGATCTTTCTCTGTTGCAGCACCACATCTCTGGAATCAACTACCTCTTCATATCAAAACCTCCACTTCTATTCACTCATTCAAAACATCTCTCAAAACACACCTCATGTCGAAAGATCCGTTTTTTCGTAATTAAACTGATTTTGTTTTGTTTTTGTTTTCATTGTAATAGCGCCCTGAGCACCTTGGTGGATATGTGCGCTTTATAAAACTTCGTTATTATTATTATTATTATTATTAATCTTTATTTTTCACCTATTCATTATAAAACAATTTATAGGTTTCCTATTTCTATTTATCTAAACCTTCTATGGCATTACATCCATCAGTGAAATATAAACTAGAATCAGACACTGGCAATGGTGTACTACTGTCTTCAAATGCAAACTTTTTAAAACGTGGTTTCCAAAGGTATGTTGAGGCAACTCTGTGTCACATATCAGAATACAGTCATTACCTGCTTTAGTGTCAAAACAGGTGTTCTGTCTTTCTTGGCGACTTCCTTCAGTTTTTTGTCATCAAACTGCAGCCAGCGCAACGGTATCAATTGACCCATGTAAGGCTCTTTCCTTGCTGTGCTTTGTATGTGCTCTCTAAGTCTGGCAATCTGTCGATCAATATAATTAATCATTTGTAAGCATAATGAATTTTTAGTCAATTCTTGGTCTTTCTTCAAGTTAGCAAATGTTGGTTTGCTACACAGGTACACGTACTTATGATGCAGGCCTCAGAACTGTTAAGTCAATATTTAAACATTTAATTACTTCTTGTCTACTACAATTTAAACAATTAACTGCTTATAAGTCATATGTTCAAAATGTGCCTAGGCATAATGGGGTGATGGAGAAATAAATTATTGATTTATACCTTGCTGTTGTTGGTTTCTAAGGAGTTCTCAATGGCGTAGAAGTTTTGAACCACAAATCTGACGTACGGCTTGTTGCAGATCTCAGTTCGGATACGAGTGAATATCTTATCAATCTATATTTTAACACAGGAAAACAAAATTAAGGGTGAAATAAATGATTCTCTTTAAAGAAAAAAGGGTATGCGAAAAAAAGGTTGAAAATGAGATATATCAATGCACTGATAAACGTGACACAATATTGTAACGTGCGTCGCCAAATAGGTTCCCTGCCTGTCTGGACAGGTCCCGATGGAGTTAAAGCATGTGTGGTGCTAGGCCACAGCACCAATTGATGTCCAGCACTCCAAACTCTTTACCACTGGGTGGGTGGGATTGAGTAGATTGGGTGGATTAACCTGTGGATTGGGTGGATTAACCTATGAATTGGGTGAATTAACCTGTGGATTAGGGTGGAGTAGCCAGTGGATTTGGGTGGATGACCAGTGGTTTTGGGTGGATGACCGGTGGATTAGGGTGGCTTTAGAGGGAGACGACACCTCTAATCAGTAACAATGAGACACAAGAGATTTGTTTGAATTCTTTGTCCCCACCTCGAAAAGAAGCGAAGAAGTGGAGTTATGCTCACTCACTCTGTCTTTTATAGTCCGTGGGCTATGGGGCGTCCCAGTGCACCCCTCCCCCCAGAACCCACCACCACCGATATTTTTTTGATCCTTGGCATGTCCCCAATAGGAAAAAAGATGTTAACAGTTAAAATTTAGGGATGCTCTCTCTCAGGAGGCCAATTATTGGAATTTCCTATGATTGAGCTTAGAAGGCATTTTCTTAGCACTAGGTTTGGAAGGGGACGAAACAAAATGCCATAACCTGAGCAGACCTTGACCGATCTTGATCAAACTCAGCACACTTATCCTTCATGAATGGGTCTTTCAAAACATATCTTTGGTTGCCATGGAAACCAACTATAGAGGGCACTACGATCAAACGAAATATGTTTATTTTGAAAATTTACCGAAAAGTTGCTCATCATTAACATTACAGCTTACTTTTTGTCTGGAAAGCCACCAAATCGTAAAACAGAAGTTAAGTTATGATTATCCAACTTCTGTTAAGGTGGTAGGTCTTGGCAAATTGAAAATTATATACATTTTTAATAAGTTAAACAATGTCCTGCTGAATCAAGGTTCTGGTATTCTTAGCCTTTGGGTTGGTAGGTGTCAGGTCCATCTTCCAGATACATGGACATACCTTTACCAATCTTGCTTAAGTTTGACATGGTATATGTTCATATATTTATCTTTCTAAAAATGCTTCGAATCGTCATGGAAACTGTCTACAGAGCCTGACTCTATACCCAGATAAATATATACATTTTCAATAGGTAGAGATTTTGTGAATTTTAATCTAAGTGGCAGTTAAATAAAAGGAAAATCAAAAACGGCAACATGGATGTGATCCATTCTAGCCTGTTGGATCCATACTTGTAAATACAAATGGGTAAAATATTGAAATGACTTAATTTGTGGAAGATTCTGTACATATGTCATTGCAAAACTATGCTTATGTCGCTAATCCAAGCATAGATGGGAATATTCTTAGCTCAGCAATGGACATATGGGAGGTACCGGTACATTGGTCAACATACACATGTAAATATCCACAAGGGCGGATCCAGAGTGGTTATTGCTGGGGGGGGAGGGGGAGGCTGTCCTGGGGGGGGGGGGCCTGAAGGGCTCTCACAAGTGACAAACTGCCTTATTTGTGAACTTTTCGGTCACTGCCGGGGGTGGGGGGGGGGCCACTCCAGCCCATGTCAACTCCCAAGACAGCAAAGTCACAGATTCTTGTCTCCTAAAGAGATCACGGTCATGGGCTTAGGTTAACTTTGCCTCATTCCTCCAATCATCGCAGTCAAAGAGATCATCCAGTGCACCAAGCTCAGCCTCTGTCATCTTTACAAGTCCATCGCTGACGAGGTCCACCTGCAGATTCACCGAGCCCTCCGGAAACACAAGCCAGCCAATCCCAAAATCTACAGACAAGATCGTGCAGCCATCACCTCCCTTTGTCAAGACAAGTCCCATCACATCTTCTAAACTGACAAGAGCAGCACCACTTTGTCAAATGCAGACTTTATAATAACTGCAAGGTGTGGGATATCCTTGACTTGGGTTCATACCGTCCCTATTGCAAGGACCCCCACCATCCACCGAGAAGATGTTCCAAGGCAAACTGTTCATCCTCCAGCCAGGGTTCTGGCAACATCTCCCAATCTTTGTACAGGCAACTTGATCCCACCCAACAGCTCGAAATACCTAATCTTTTACAGACAACCAATGATACAAAGCGGGATTCTCCAGTGCGCCCTGTCAAGGCCTCCAAAGGGGACCCTACGCACAACACAGCCAGACACCCCACCAAACTGCTTCATCCACTAGTCAGCAACACCAAATACCGCATCAAGAATTCTGAGAGTTTGCCATCTTCACCTCAGACCTCACCCTCCAGTCAAACGCTGTCAGAGTAGTCCGCTTGGGAGTCATTTCTCTCTTTATCAACATACTCAGTGCCAACTGACCTGTTGCATCGTGAAAAGAAAGACTTTAACTGGATTCTACGCACAAGGATACTACAGACCCCACACCAGACAAGTTTCATGGTATTCTGCTTACCTGTGTGTCATCTAAGTCAATGGCATCTCTTATGTCATTAATTCTAGCCAATATATTCATGGATAAAATTGAGCAGACCACCAACATCACGGCAGAGCACAGACCACATGTTTGACTCCTTCATCGTCAAGTGATGACACCTTCATCATCTGGCAGCATGGGTAAGAGAATCTACTGCTCCTCTACTTCCCCGACCAAAGGTTCTCCAATACCTAAAAGGCCCATTAATTAGGGTCACATGCGAAAGATCACCCCCTTCCTTGAATGAGAGTTGTACTTTCAACGCATCCTGACCAGAAGCATGGCATCAAAGCTTTCATCATACAACACCCCCAAAAACCACAATCTGCTGCAATCTCACAAGAACCAGCAAGACCTAACCTTCAGACTCAGAATCATCAGAATCCTTTGTCAGTGTAAACAAAGTGTACATCGACGAGGCTGTTATAGTGACCTCCCCACTTCTACTTCTACGTGTACTCAGCTGCCCAAGACTATCATAGAGTTGTCTATAGTGATCTCCAACCTTCCCAATCGGATGCAAGAGACCAACAGTTCCCTGGAGATACTGAACAGTCTGAGGATAAACACTGGGTCTATTCCAGGACATGGTACCCCAAGATATTGGTTCATCTATCAGTGACATCTGGTGCCCTATACTCTTTCAGACAATCCAATGGGCCACCTATACGCACGGAAAGCTAAGGTCACACACCTTGTAGTCAGTCTATGGGTCTCCTGGCCTATACCACTGACAACCTTTATTTCACAACTTCCTTCTATCACACTAATACCCCAATGATCAGCTACATGTACATGTAGCATCTCCTGCCCCAGTCCTCCTACATGTACATTCTTTGGGTGTTGGAATCTCTCTTACTCCTGACGAAGAGCAGAGTGTACTGTCATATGTCCCAAACCTGGAGTTTACACTGGTTCTTTAAGACCCTCACAAACTAGAAAAAGTCTTGTCTCTTTGTTTAATCTTTATAAACTGATTCTTTCAGGGTATAAATACAAAATGAACCACATACAGGTGAACCACGCTGACATAAAACTTATCTACTCTTGGGGTACTCTCCATCCGAAGCAGTGAAAAATGTAAACAGTTGCTCAACTTCAGTGGGACAATGATTATTTGATAGTCGCATGTGTTTCTGTTGACTAATGTACCTCCCGTACGTCCATCGCTGAGCTAAGAATATTCCCATCTATGCTTAGATTTATAGCGACATAAGCATAGTTTTGCGATGATAAAATCTTCCATAAATTAAGTAATTTCAATACTTTACCCCATTTGTGTTTACAAGTATGGATCCAACAGGCTAGAATGGATCACATCCATGTTGCTATTTTTGATTTTCCTTTTATTTAACTGCCACTTAGACAAAAACTCACAAAATCTCTACTTATTGAAAAATGTATATATATTATCATATTTATCTGGATATAGAGTCAGGCTCTGTAGACGGTTTCCATGACGATGCAAGGCATTTTTAGAAAGATAAGTATATGAACATATACCATGTCAAGCTTAACCAAGATTGGAAAAGGTATGCATGTATCTGGAAGACTGAACTACCTACAAAGTACCAACATAAAGGCTAAGAATACCAAAACCTAGATTCAACAGCACGTTGTTTAACTTATTAAAAATGTATATAATTTTCAATTTGCCAAGACCTCACTCTCAAATTAGCTCATCAGAAGTTGGACAATCATAACTTAACTTCTGTTTTATGATTTGGTGGCTTTCAAGATGAAAGGTAAGTTGTTATGTTAACAATGAGCAACTTTTCGGAAAATTTTCAAAATAAACATGTATATATATATTTCGTTTGACCGTAGCGCCCTCTATAGTTTGCTTCCATGACAACTAAAGATTTTTTTGAAAAACCTATTCATGAAGGATAAGTGTGCCGAGTTTAAGATTGGTCAAGGTCTGCTTAGATTATCGCATTTTGTTTTGTCCCCTTCCAACCCTAGTGCTAAGAAAATGCCTTCTAAGCTCAATCATAGGAAATTCCAATAATTAAATTGGCCTCCTGAGAGAGAGCATCCCGAAATGTTCACTGTTAACATCTTTTTTCCTATTGGGGACATGCCAAGGATAAAAAAAAATTCGATGGCGGTGGGTTCTGGGGGGGGGGGTGCACTGGGACCCCCCCCCCCCCATAGCCCACGGTTTATTAACTTACAATAATGCAAATCATTACCCAAAGTACAGAGGATGAATTAAATCAGATTCAATGACTTAAGACACGCCCCCTACAGTGCTGGCCAATTGGATTCTGCCATTCTAGCATGAGGTATTTAACACTAAAGAATGTCACTTTTCACAGTTCATGTTTATGTATAAAACATTTAGTTGATGACTAATCACAATACATCAGATCTGCAATACATAGGAATAGTACGATTGATGGGGGCTGTATTCTGTGAAAATAGCCACTACTAGAGGGAAGCATCAGCCATATGGTTGCGAAGGGCCATTTCTAAAGGTTACGTAACACTTTATTTTGAATGAAACTACATGTACACACACATGTTCACGTTGGCGGGCGAAACGTTTGAAAACAAATTTCTGCCGTTTGGAAGACCGTTTCTTCATGCAACTTTCAGGGTTTATTTCCTTTATCCATGTGCTAACAATCGTTAGAATATGTTCATTACTTTTCGTTGAAATTGGAAAAATAGGACTGGCTACGTGCATTTCTGAAAGTTGTAACACAGGTATTTAAAATGATCTGTCAATCTTTTCAAGCCTCACGAATATTAATAAGGTTCCGGTCCATTATGGTGTGCAGCATAAAATTGCATAAAAGCCTCCTTCACGAATCATTATTTAACAAATATCACCCTTTTTGCCGGCTTCCAACGGTCGACACCATGACCCCCGCCAAGTCACGCCGAGTGACACTAATGAATATGCTAATATGCGCTTCGTGTTTGTGTGCCGAGCCGAAATCGGTCAACCATAATGCCTACGGCGCTATGGAAAACCACATGTTGTTTTGGTCGGGAAAAAATCCTGGTCGAAATTTTCCATGGATATAGTTCGAGGTGTAACACTAGCGTCTGCAACAGCTGATTAAGCTGAAATTCAGATATACTTAGATGATATAAGTGTTCAACAACTAGAATAACAACTTGAGTTGATTCCTAGAAATTGAGGTAAATACATAGATTTGGGGAAGTTTTCAAACGATTTCTTCCAGACTTGAAGATCAGCTTGACCAGTAACCAGTATTGACGTTTCGGCATCGATAACGGCGAATTTTTCACTTACACAAAGTTTAGAATTTCTTCTTTCATTACATTTTAACATTTCAATCACACTGAGCATACTTTCTGAGATACACAACGTTCAAAAGGCCATGTTTTTTAGGGTGCATGGATTTCACTGCTCTGTTATAGCGTCCAAGTACGTAATCGGATTAGCTTTGCTTAACAACTAGAACGCTTTCGCGTTCGCAACCACATGGCTGGCACTGTTGTAAATCTAATAGGCTAATTTGTATGTAATGACGGTAGATTGGAGATCTCTTATTTTTCCACATTATGCTCCATTTGTGGTCCCATTTGATGCAGTCAATTGTGTAATTTTATACTCTAGAACATATCTTCTATTATAACACCTCACCCACAGATTCTGTGTCTTGAATGGCCGAGAGCGAGTCACATGGTACTTTATATTTTTGCTATATCTTTCAGTTCATCTGTGGATGAAGTGTTATAAAACAATATGGAATGTTTTATTTTGTGGTAAAGTAAAACTAGCCTCCCTCGGTGATCCAAGGAGCACTCTATTTTATGGATCACCTCGGGCTAGTTTTACTATGCCACTCGAAGCATTCCATATTTGTATACTATTTGTTGTCAGTTTAAGAAGAATCAGGTAATATAATAAACTTATAAGTTTATCCTTTTAATTAAAAGGAAAGAAAGAAGGGCCTACCATTTGTTTGCGCTCATAGTCAGGCAAATCCACTCCTCCGACGCTATTTCTGTGCGTCCCAACTATGAAGATTGGCGGGGACTTCTGCTCCAATCGCTTCTCTGAGGAGTTTTCTTTGGTATATGTAAATATTGACCGCATCCAGAAATCCAGATACTGGATTGGTGTCATCCTATCAGTGTAGGAGCTGCTCGCCTGATAGACATGAATGGGAAAAGAAGGCAGTGCTTTCAATGTCAATACGAGGTGCATTTACATGTACAGTAAGTTTTAAGCTGAACAAAGAAATTGACTTGAAAAGGATTGGAACCTGAGGCCTCTAAATTGCTGTTATACGGCACTCTTCAACTGAGCACAATACAGGCTTGGCTTCTGACTTGAACAAAGATGTTCATAAAATGGGGAATCACCAATATAGGTCTGGTCCACTTTCAAATGACAGTGACAAATAAGACAGATTTCAAGGTTGTACCTACTAGTACTTCAATAAACATATCAATACCAAACATCTTCACTCAGTTAAGTTGTAAAATTAAAAGAAAAATGCATTAATTTGTGCTGTTCTTACCAAGACGTGGGTTTTCATTTCAACTGATTTTTAAAATTATCACTCTTACATCATCAGATCTTGCGCTGGCTGGAACTGGCACAGGCTTGTCCAGATCTTGGCAGAGGTTGAATACAACCAGGTAGATCGCCCGAGAAGACAAAAATGTCTACAACACATACAAAAAAAAGAATGCTGTTGACCAAATAACCAGCACCAAACCATTTCTCAGTGGAACCAAAATATGTGCATTGTGCAACTGCTATTTGCTGTACACAAGCCAAGTGAGTGATTTAAGCATTCTAAGCCTCCTAACGCGAAGAAAAGGAACGAAAACCTACTTTTATCAGAGGTCAAATGAACTTCTGTCACAATCAATATGCTTGAGAAGATAATCTCATTAAACAGAAATGTAAAACGTTATTTTTCAACATTTTTAAAAGGTTTGCATACACGGATTCCAGGAACGTGAAGCTTCGAGTATGCGTTGCTGTCCACATAGCATAACCTAAGATCTCTATTATTGCAGACAACTTTTGAACCATCTCATATGCTAATTTGGTAATATGTATCAAACACTGACCATGACCAGGCACCAATTGCTATAAGTGGATCATGCTGGTAACCAGCGGCGGCCGAACTGTTTTCAAACTGGGGGGGGGGGGGGGGCATCACCCAAAAGGGGGCCAAAAGGGGGCACTTGCTCAGTATTTTTTTTTTTTGCATACATCCGTGCTGAAAGGTTGACACGTATTTTTCACCAGACACTTGGCCTCTGTAAAATCAAATAGTGTAGAAAGGAGGGGGGAACTGGTTAGGCACCGTCGATATCGTGCTTCGGCCGATACCAATATATCGGTTTTTTTTATATCGATATTATCGATATATCGATATTTTTACATCTAATTTTCAAGGTATTATGATAGGCGTGAATAACATGGAATCTACTCTTTCTTTCGCTTAAAAATAAGGCCCGACACCGAAGCTGCATGGGGACGTATTAAGTCGTGAACCCCAAACACGACGGGTGATGTAGTCAATGTGCAATGACAACACCAGACCCTTAATTACAGATTTCGGAATCTATATATCATACAGTACACCTTTCCAGTCACAGTATCAAAAAGTGAAATTCATTTTTTGCACCAAAATGTCCAGGATAGTGCAACAGATGTCATCATTAGTGATTCTGCATCATTAATGATTCTTTCTTCAATTTTGTACACATAAAGTCTGAAATGTTCAATCAATCATTGTTATTTTAGATATTATCAACAAATTATTAGGTTTTTAGAGTGGCCAATGCATCTTTATGATTATGCAAATAAGGGCGGAGTTTGCAGACCGATGTCAATGGAGAATACATTTAACTGCAACTAATTACCAAGAGGCTTTGAGCACTGGTATGAGAGGGGCAATGAAGCGGGCCTACAAACTTCCTACCGACATGGTGTTGCTAGGCAACTGTATATCCATGGTGAAAGTGCATTTTAAAGAGGCTATGGATGGGGGAAGTACAGAACAGAATGAAAATTAAGCAAAATACGACACATCACAAGAGGTTATTTTGGAACTCATCATTACTTTGAGACCGTGAATTCCAGCAAATATCAACAGAAAGTTCCGCCGCTCGGCATTTTGTAACGTATATGGGTTACTCCATGAAGTTCGGGCAAAAAGTGTGACATTGGGTCAAAGTTCCCAAATGTTGATCTGAATATTGTTTTTGATAGCTCAACTACTATATTTTTAGGAAAAAGTATGCTTTTCCCCCAAAACATAAAACTGAATTTGTGGTTGATCTTTATATTCATGATGGGTAATTCAAAATACCTATGCTACATGGACACCAAATCTAAACAATTGCTCTGAACATTTTTGAATGGGTTAGGTTATTTGTCAGTTTTCTTGTTGTTTAAGATTAACTTTTAGGGTATTATCAAAGGAAAAAACAAATGGTTCAGCAGATGCTCAAAATAAGTTGATACAACCCATTGTAAATTGAGGCTTTTTGGGTAATTTTGACAAAATTGTGCTTGTTTGGAAAAAGTAACCAAATCAGCTAGAAGAGATCTAAAATAACATTTATGAGTAAAAGTTTGACTTAAATGACACAGTCAGTGAACCACCTTTCTAAAATGATGTTCAAAATGTATGCCTTTGCTCGTCGTGCTGAGAAATATGGCTGACTATGTGTCAATTTTACCTATGCTACATGGACACTGTGTCCTGTAAATAGGTAGAAAACAGCACAACTTATGGCTAAATCATGTTTTATGGCAGTGGACATGCAAACCGAATACAGAAGCTGAATTTTGGATACATAATTTGGATGTATGTATGAATTATAGAGTGTGGAACAATACCTATGCTACATGGACACCGTGTCCTATTTATCAATTTTCACTTTAGATGAGCAAACCCTTATGTAAAATAGAGTTCATCTGTATCTGATTGTTATTAATTTATTGTAATTAACCAATTTCTTGGTTCTAACATTAAAAAAATAATTTGTCTACAATCATAGCTTCACAACTAAAGGAATACTCCCTTACCTACACTACATTTTCTACCTATGCTACATTTGGATGGACACCATGCTATATTTTGGAACATAAATCTTAATTGCTGAAGAACAATTTTCCAAAGCATTTGTTGATATTTTCGAGGCAAAGTGTACGCGAATTTTGAGTGCGAGACTAAGATAGGTGACTGAATTTATTCTTCAAATGTCGCCGTATACACCGCCTGGAATATAAGCTACAGGGACATTTTTCACTCAGCGTGAGAACCAACGTAAGCCGTGGCTTATTGAAAATTAGGGTAATATGACGATGTACTTTTGTATTTTTTGATAAAGTTCGTTCCTAAGTAGCGATATTTTCGATGTATTTTTCAATATAGATGTTTTCGAAGTTTCGATATTTTCGATATTTCTCCAAAATCCGATATTTTTGATTTATCGATTTTACCAAATAACTAACATCGGCGATATCGATATCAAACCAATATCGATAAAATTGATATATCGATATATCGACGGTGCTTAGGACTGGGGTGCGTTTTGGCGGTCATAACCAAGAATTGGTTCGGTGGTTTCTCTTTGGTTAATTGTTTTGGGGATTTGAGTACTCAATGATCATGTGTAATTCTAACCCAATTAAAATTGTTGAAGAAATTCACCGACAAAAAACCACCGAACCAATTTTTGGTTATGACCGCCAAAATGCACCCCTGGTACCATCTTCCAAAATAGGGGGCGCTCTTCAAAACCGGTCATTTGGCCAAATAAAAAAAAAAAACATGTTTAGCGTCCTGCCTTTTTAAAAAAAAAGAAGCGGGAGGCCCTTCTTTCTTTTTTTTCAAAAATGGCCGCCTGACCGGGCTATTTTTCAAGATGGCCGCCAGTTTTTTTTTAAATGGCCGCCATTGCACTCAGCCTGGAAATGACATAGGCTAGATGCAACAGACAAAGAGGCCAAAATGATGTCACTGTTTAAAATGTATCTTTTTTTTTCGTTTAACAAAAAAAGAAAAAAAAAGGCGGCCTTTAAAAAGGAAACAGGCGGGGACGCCAAACATGTTTTTTTTTTATTTGGCCTTATGCAAACTACGTAATATGTGCCCACTTTAAGGACCCATTGTAAGGATTTTGGGGCTTGGTTTTCATATTCCTCGTTCACATCAAAACTATCCATACCATTACTCTGTTTCCCATCAAAATGTACCATATTTGACTGACCTTGTGCAATGTATAATACAACTCTTGACCAGCAAAGTCCCAGACACTGAAAACTATTGGTTCTTCCACACCAGAGACATGCCTTTTTCTAACTGATATCTGTGGTTTCTGGGCTTGCTCGTTTTCTGGCGAGTTTCTGTCTTTGCCGTCTTGTTGTGGGATAGCTGTCTGAGGTGGAGAAGCTGTGGAATATGATGGCACAACCCGGAATGTGATTTTAGCAAGCATGGACGTCAATCGGTGGGGGTGGGGGATGGGGGGGAACAAGTTCCCCACTTTTAAAGTGGGGCGGATATATCGTTTGTCACCCCCCCCCCCACTTTTTCGTCCCCCAATAAAAATTGTAGCCAACGTAAGCTCAAAATAGCTGATTCAATGATTCCAAACTCAATAATAATGTTTAAAAGTTTAGCTTTTGCTAACAAAAATTGATTTAAGTGGTCAAAAATTTCCTCAGATCGCACCAACGAACATCTAGAATCCAAAAAAGTTTTGGGGCCCTTTAGCGGGCGCCGGACCCCACACCCTTAGGACTTTGTGCTTGCATGAACGCTGATCAAAGAATGTCCCCTCCCCCCCCCTCCCCTCCACTTTTAAGAGGCGATTGACGCCCTTGTTAGCAAGCATTTAGAGAATTGTTTTGTGTTTTGTTGCATTTTAATTACATTTTTTTGGTTTTTTACTCTAACCTGCTGCAGGTAGTGTTGCCTGATCCACTGGATATGTAGGCATAACTGGCATCCCAAGTGGCACCTAGTTAAAGTAAATCACATCAATAAAGAGCATTTTATACTGAGATGCAAGATTGTCCCATGATCAACACGTAAATAAACATTCCTTGAAGTCAACTTGGTTAGAGAGCTTACTGTTCTCCATCCAGTAAGTTTAGGCCCAAAAAAAAGAAATCCACACTGGCAAAATTAAAAAGGTTTTTTTTTTCAATGTGAATAAGATGATGTCTCAAAACCGCCAAACTCACTTGTTTGACTGGATTCCTGCTGCTGCACATGTGGCCTCTCTGGACTCCCCTATATTTTGCACTAAATTTAGGCGGGCACCTTTTGCAGACAGTGTTGTAATTTTGTAATTGTGCATCTGGAAGCCAGACTGAAGGAGAGAGGGTCGGGTATCTGGAACCTGTAAACACTTTTTAATTAGTGCAATATGTTTAAGGAGCAGACTAATGACCAGCCTGGCAGCACATGCACAATGTTGCGATGTTTCTGTATGGTCTGACGTTACCGTTTTCTCTGATTTTTGTCTTGACTATCTAAATTTCCCGAAGATTGTTCGTGTCTTTGGAGATCGTAAGTGGGTGCAGAATTCTCAAGCCTTACTGAGGTCACCTCAAGCTCCATACTGAAGGCTTCAATTTTTGAGAGTTTTAAGGGGATCAAAGCGTCATTTGCAACATCAGCCGACATTTTTTTTTAAAAACTAGAACGGCGAAGCCGCCATGGCTCGCTGTCCAAGGCAGAAAGGGAGGCTGAATGAAGGGTTGGGGATGGGCATGATGGACGGGGATCAGGATTCTTGTTGATGTGCCTAGGTGTAGGGGTCAGTTTTTAAATGTCAACATAAAAAGTCACCAGATTACCTAATAAATACATGTGTATAGGTTAGCCGTCACTGTATTATGGGGGAGTTTTCCATTGTTAGGGTAATAGGACCCAGTTGTGGATTTTTGCAGCCCCAACAGTGTCTTCTGCTCCACATACTTGTATTACCATGGGAAAACTCTTGTGTAGTCACCACAAATGAAGAACAAGAATGGGTATACATGTACATGTACATGTAGACACAGCACCATCACCACCTCCCCCAAACCTTACCCCATCCCAAAACCTTACCCCATCCCCAACCCGCCCCCTCCCTCTCCCCCACCCAACCCCCTACCTACACCCATTCCATCCTCCCCTAACCATCCCCACCCTATCACCTACACATCCCAACCCCACCCAAACTCCAATCCCTATCTTCTTCCCCCTCCCCTGACCCGTACCCTCCCCTACCCCAACCCCCTACCCTATCTGTCCTTACCCACCCTACACATCCCCACCCTAACCCTTACTCGAATTCCAATATCCCGCCCACCCCATTCCCCCACCCATACATCCCCACCTGACCCCATGCAACCCCTACTCTGATCCCTATATACTGCCCCCTCCCCTTATCCAACCCCTACAACCCATCCCTACCCATCCCTACACATCCCCAACCCAACCCCTACTCCGATCCTATATCCCGCCCCCTGCCCAACCCCCTCCTAACCCAACCCCTACATCCATGCCCATCCTCTCCCTACCTGTGTCTCCCTACCTGTTCCCACCTCACCCCTACAAATCCCCACCCCACCCAAACCCAGTATTCCAACCCCTCTCCCCACCCCAACCCACCCCGCCCCACCCATACTAGCTCGGCCCCTACTCATCCTACTCATACAAACCCTAACTCCAACCCTATCCCCCGACCCACCCCACCCCACCCTCCCCTACCCCATCCCTACTCCAACCCCATAAACTAAAAGATCAAACCAGAAGTTCATGCACATCCCCAAAATGCATAATGTACATGTACATGTTATACCGGTATACACATACGTGCATGTTATACCAGTATACATGTACATGTAACAATTAAAAACTTTAACATTTCCTTGAATTAAAGTTCCTCAATAAAATCATCAAATTTACTGCAATGATATAAACCTAACTGAAGTTATAGAGATGATACAAGACAACTGCATTTAATTTTTTTCCCCAAGTTAACTAGAACCAAAAACTTCAACATTTTTATCTGAACGCGGACGGACGGACGGCGCGCCGGACAGACGGACGGAAATTGGTATTACATAGGCTCGCATCTGCTTCGCAGCTCGCCAAAAAGTAGGGGGGAAAAAAGACAAGTCGCTGCACCGCTTTTGGGGCAAGCTCCATACCAAAAACCGGAGACTTTTTTCGGCCTTAAGTCCAGTAGAATGCTCACCTTCTACAGAAACGTGCAACAGTAAAGGACAAGAAAAAATATAAGGAGGACTGCATACAGTTGTCCGATATGATGTGTTGTATGTTGTTTTGTACATTGGGTGCAGTACTAGTGTTTGCCTAGACTGAGTATCACCTATTATCCACGGAACCCCACGGAGCCCTGACTCCTGTCTAAAGTCTGATACATCAAAACCTGCAGATTTATGCAATCTCGTACCTCAGCCCATCGGAGTGGACTTTACTCAATCATGATGCCGTTTCGATCCCAAATCAGGACTAAATTACGTTAGTGATTGGTCAATCTGAATGACGTGTTTTGTAATACGACACCAGCTGTGCACGTATCGGGTAACATAATACAGAGCGCGTGAACACAGCCTTTGTTACTGTGTCAAATTTTATTATTTTTATTTTTTATTATTTAGTCATTTTTTTTTTATTATTTAGTCATTTTTTATTTTTTACGCGACAACAGGTGAATGACCGAAGACCCAATATAGAAAGCACTCGCTGATTGGTCAAAATCTAGAGGTCAAGATGCGGTTGTCTTGCATAATTAATAAGCGAATCGGTTCCAATATTATATTACATGGACTAGTGTTTGCCCCCGAAGCATGTCCAAAAAAAGGACACACTATTGCAGGAAACTTTTTTGGCAATACCATGGCAAAATTTCCATAAACAATTGGGGACATGCCAACGGCGCAAAAAAATAACGGTGGTGGTAGGTCAGGGGGGGGGGGGGGGTGGGGGAGGGGGTTGCACTGGGACCCCTGTAGCCCACAGACTTTTAGGCATGCCCAATACTTAGGGAGTCCGTATTCCTATAAATTTACACAACACAGGCACCGCAGCGTTCTGCGCCACATTGCATGTATGAATGGGAATAAATATGTGCTTATTGGCCGGTATTTAAACAAGTACTTTTAAAATGGCCAAGCATATTCCCTCAATAACATTTTTTTTACTATACCTCATAAATATTTATCAGGCAACCGCGGCATTTCATTGGTCCATTCCAGCAACTCAACCGTGTGAAAGTTTTTATTATCAGCCCGCGTCTTCGTACGCGTGCGTGACGCGCAAAAACCAGGGAGATACTATCACACACCTGGGTCGCAGCCTTAGATTTGTTCCAGTACTGTGTTATCTCTTTACCAACGACGCATGCGCTTTACATGCGTACCGTGGAGAACAACAGTGAGGACAGTTGCATGTGCCAGTCTTTTACGGGCATACATCAAAATGGCGACCAGTGGTACTGGGTGACATTTTACACAATAATAATAAATGCAGTGTTTTTCGTGAATGTTAAAGTTATTAAATGACACAAAATTAACTTTCTATTCTGTCTGTTTCCTTCAATTAAAATAATATTTCACTTTATCCAAATACTGCACGATCAAAACATGGTGGAATGGACGAATGAAATACCGCAGCTGCCTGATGAATATTTATGCGGTATAGTAAAACAAATACAACATGTTTTTGCGGGGAAATAGTGAAAACAAATTACCCCTTGGGAGATCATCCAACACCTCGGGGTAATTAGTTTTCACTATTTCCCTACAAACCATGTTGTATTTGTATATTACATCTTTGCTTACCTCAATATCAACTGGGTAGTTTTGCATGAAGAAGTTATGAAAGTTGAAGCTCGCCTCACTTCTCAAAGTGTTTTCATATTCACGCCTAAAACTGGTTGATTCATCTATCAACAATGATGAATGAAATGAAAAAGAAGTTTAGTGCCATGAATTTGAAAAAGGCCTCAGATTGATATGTATGTATTGAATGCCTGTATACAAGAAGAAATAAATTGTCATTCATATTCAGAAATTTACCCATTTATACAATCTAAACTTGTTTTCAACTAGTATTTTGATTATGCATGAAAATACCACATCCAGAAATCATGACTTCATTGTTAGAGCTCAAGCTAAAATTTCAAATTATGTAAGGGTTCTTACCTGCCATATAATTGGAATTATATGAGGCCGAGGAGGAGAGACTCACCGTGTATTATTGTCCCTGGTAATACGGTTTGCACCACCCTTTGAAGAAAATGGATCATTCCTTCATTCATAAAAATGCAAATTAGCCCTAGCACGCTGGGTATAAAGCCCCCAAGAAACCATTGAAGCATGTCTCTTTGTAGATCTAAGGTATTGGTCCTGGCTGAGGACTCAAGATGGGTGGGAGGCTGAAGAGAACTGAGGCACCGAGGGAGGGAGGTGAGTCTCTCCTCCTCGGCCTCATATAATTCCAATTATATGGCAGGTAAGAACCCTTACATAATTTGAAATTATATTTCGTCCTCGTCGTCGAGACTCACCGTGTATATTTCACAGCTAAGCCGAAGACAGGACTGCTCTTCCATATTCCTCTGAACATGGTACATCTCGCTTGTAAAACTTTCCAAAGGTGTTCACCGATGACCAGTCTGCTGTCAGTAAAATCTGAGCAGTAGAAACTCCTACTCTTGCTGCAGCAGATGTAGACGCAGCCCGAGTAGAATGTGCTTTATAATGTGAGACATCTATTCCTGCCGATGCCATCACTATTTTCAGCCATCTAGCAATAGTAGATGAAACTACTGGATGATGAGGTTTCCCGAATGATAGAAACAGCCTTGTAAAGCGCTGATTATTTAGGCGTCTAAGCAATCGTGTACGATGAATATACACCTCCAACATTGAAAAAACACATAGTTTTCGATCTGCTGGATAACGGGCCAAAACAACACTTTGAACTGGCCTATGTGCTGAGGAACATTTAGACTGGCTGACTGGTGCAAATTCAAAATGCTGTCCTGGACTTCTTCATGTGATGTAAATCCAGAGCAATTAATGATGAGCAACGCCCTGCTGTCACGAGAGCGACCAGCATGACCAATTTGAGCGTCAGAAGCCTCAAACTGAGCTTCCTGTTTGATGAGAGTGAACCAAGGTAACGGAGAACTTTCCCAGCATCCCAAGTAAATGAATACCTAGGTTTCGGTGGTCCAATATTAAAAATACCTTTAAAAAACCATGTCATTAAAGGATGTTGTCCAATAGGGATATCATCCACCTGAACATGGGCTGATGAAATAGCAGACCTGTAGACATTAATTGTCCTATATTGTAGCCCATCTTCTAACAATGTATGGAGAAACTCCAACACTTCTGCTAAAGGTGCTTGAACTGGATCCAAGTGTCGTTGATGACACCAGCGACTCCAGCGATTCCATGCCGAGTCAAATTGAGTGTTCCTTTTCTCCATGATGCCATGATAACTGAGGACACCTTCTGCGAAAGTCCTCTTGCTGCGAGTGATTTCCTGATATCACCCAGGCGGCCAGCTGCATCACCGTGTGCATGGGGTGTTGTTGACGATTGTGACATAATTGAAGGAGATCTGGGCGCTGTGGTAACAGTAATGGTGTTTTTACTGTCAGTTTTAACATTAGTGGATACCACGGTTGTGTTTTCCAAACTGGTGCGATTAGCAGAACTGTGGCTTCTTCTACTTGAATTTTCCGAAGGCACCTTGAGAGCAGACTGAAGGGAGGAAACAGATACCCTGCCATGTTGCACCAGTTGATGGTGAACGCGTCCACTTGCCATGCTTGTGGATCTGGGTGCCATGATACGAATCTTGGAACCTGTCTGTTGAGCCGTGATGCAAACAGATCGATCAACGGTTGAAACTTCATCTTTTCTACCACTGCTCTGTAAATTTCGGGGAGAAGATGCCACTCTGTGCGGTCGTTGAAGTTGCGCGACAATTCGTCTGCTATGACATTTTGTGCTCCTGGGAGATATTCTACTGACAATGTTATTTGTCTGTGTAGACACCATGTCCATATCTTCACTGCAAGGGATGACAATTCTGGAGAATGAGTCCCCCCTTTGTGGCTGATGTATGACATTACTGTCATGTTGTCCACCTGTAGTCGGATGTGTAGGTTGCGTTGATCGTACACTGACAACAGTTCTAGATTTTTGATGTGTAGATTCTGTTCCAATATCGACCATCTGCCGCCTGTGCGGATTTCGGATGTGCAAGCACCCCATCCTTGGAGTGATGCATCTGTCTGGATCACCACATCCGGTGTTGGATTGAGTAGTGTTTGGCCGTTCCAAATTCTTACGCATTGTATCAGGCTTTTCAACTCCTCCTTGGAGGCGTGGGATAGGACTACTTCCGAGTCGTAGGAATTGCTGTGGTGAAGTGCCGTAATCTTGTCTTGCTGCAGATTTCTGTAATACAATGGGGCTGGAAACACACCGCTTGTATGCTTGAGGACAACCGACCGATGAGCTGAGCTAATTCGCGGACAGTTAAGGTGTTCGCCTGCAGAACTTCTTGACAATGATTGACGATATGGTTGACTTTCTCTACTGGTAGAGACAATGTCATTGTTTCGGAGTTGATTTGAAACCCGAGGTATGTGATTTGCTGTGCAGGTTGGAATTTTGACTTTTCCTGATTGATGACGAATCCTAGTTCCTGAAGTGTAGTTGCCGTGAACTGGAGATTCTCGGTGCATTCTTTCACAGAACTGCCCATTATGAGTATATCGTCGAGATAAAACACACATCGAATTCCCTTTGCTCGGAGCTGCCACTGGCTTGAGAACTTTCGTAAATGTTCGAGGAGCACTTGACGGCCCAAATGGGAGGCATGCAAATTGGAACAACTGGCCTTGCCATATGAAACGAAGATACTTTCGATGATCCTGATGAATAGGAATCATAAAATAAGCGTCTTTGAGATCAATGGAACCTAGAAAATCACCTGGTACTAGTAAATCCTTTACTAATTTTATTCCTTCCATCTTAAAGTGTTGATATTTAACAAACTTATTCAACGAACGAAGATTTATCACTGGGCGGAGCTCTCCCGACTTTTTGGGGACCAAAAACAAAGACGAAATAAACTGACCAATCACCGGATCTTCCACGGTGACTGCCCCTTTAATCAAAAGCTTTTGTACTTCCTCCTGAACGATCTCTACTTGAGATTGAGAATTCATTTCTGTTACAGGTATTCTGTGCTGTAATTGAAACGGAACTTCTAAAAATTCTATTTTATGACCAACAACTGACTGGAGTATCCAACTGTCTCTTGTTAGGGATTTCCAGTTACAAACAAAATATTGAAGACGACTTGTCTTGAAAGGAATACATGAACATGTATCTACTTTTTTGATTTCTGATCAAACGAACCTTGCTCTGATCTGAATTTTCCACGGCTTGAGGATGCAGATTTATAGGCTGCATACTTTGGCTTGGTAGTATAGCCCGATGATCGCCCTTGAAAGGAGTTGTTGCCCCGAAATCTTCTGTTTACCGCAGAATAATAAGGAGAAAATTTATTCCCCTTGTACGGCCCTGCAGTAGATGTTGCAGTCTTGGTGACTTTGGCTGCCAGTTTATTTGCTTTCTCGGCATCCTCTATGTCCTTGACTAGGTTTCCACCAAAGAGATGGCTCATCGACGGTGAATTTCGTTTGAGGCTTTCGAATCTTCTGTCAAGTAGCTCATCAAAAACATGTTGTCTTGAAAGAGCTAGACTCTGGCTTGCAGACCCAAGCAGTATCAATGCCGAGGTGACATGATCTTTAACCATACTGGCGTCAACTGTCTGTGGACAGGATGGGTCCATCAAAGCATCAAAAAGATGGGTCAGTGGCAAAGCTGCTTTCAGCAGATGATTATGAGAGTCTTTAAGCTTGTCATCTTGAGTTACTAAAGACGATCGAACTTCCTTGACGGATGTCTTTACCTGACTTGGTAATTCTGGAGCCTTGAAATGTGGTTCCTGTTCAACTGGTACTTGATTGGATAGAGTCTCTTCTTTGAACTCTTCATGTCCCAATTTGTTCGAACGCAGGTCTTCCCACCAGGAAAGAACTTTATCCGTCACTGGAATACCTGATGCCTTGCGATGAGGGTTACGAAATCCACTCGGATTGAGAGATTCCGATTCAGCTTCAGCGTCACCACCAATCTCCGATAGTGCCGGTCCGACACTCACGGAGTCCAAATTCGCACCCGTACCAGGGCCCGAATTACCGCCCCAAATGTTCGGACTCGCCGGCGGAGGAAGCGAGAGCTGTCCAGGGGTTGAAGGATTTCCCCGATGTTGATGATACATCTGTTGGGTAGTGTTAGGAGGCCACTGTTGTGCGTAGTTTAACCACGGAAATGACCAATACAGCGGAGCCATGGGCGCCGCCATATTGAATGACTGCTGCCCGCTAGCGGTAGCATTGCTGGCTGTAGGCGGGAAATTCCATTGTTGTCCGGGGAAGAAAGACGGCCCTGGCTGATTGTGAGGGACGACCCAAGGCGAGGTCTGTCCGGGCTCATTTTCTACTACACGTCTAGCCTGTGGTGCTCTAGACACTTGCGGTATATTCTGCGAGGAATACACCCTCGTGTCGGTGGCGGAAATTGGGCAAGGCGGCCCGCTTTCCAATTCTTCTGCACGTTGACCACCAGCCCATGGCGAGGCTGGGGCCTGTGACTTACGCACTCGTTCAACCCTAGGCGAGGTTGACGAGGCCGCAGACGGTCCCGAGGCCGTAGACGAAGATCTCAAGGCTGAACCAGGCACATCTTTAGCCTGCTTGTTGTTGTCTTTTCCTTTCTTGGTCGACATATCGAAGCAATAAACGTAGAAAAACCGAATTGGTTGTAGCTAAAATTGACTAAGTACGTGAAACTGAAGACGTAGTGTAAAATACGTGTGTGCTAAACCGTACCACAAGAAACAAAGACATGCTTCAATGGTTTCTTGGGGGCTTTATACCCAGCGTGCTAGGGCTAATTTGCATTTTTATGAATGAAGGAATGATCCATTTTCTTCAAAGGGTGGTGCAAACCATATTACCAGGGACAATAATACACGGTGAGTCTCGACGACGAGGACGAAATATAATCAGACATTTTGTACATTACTTTGTCTTTCATTGCAACGCAAGCAGGAAATTCCATTTTTTATGTAAAAAAACCCCAGATCTTCCTACCTCCTTCTTGGTGCAGACACCAAGACGTTGCGTGCTTGATGTCTATTTTGCAGACCGAGGATTCAATGCCTTCTGTGGGTGGCTCGTCGTTGTTAAACCTGTGAACAAAAGAAAGAAGATCCATTACAGTTGTCCACATGTGGTGGTTGAAAAATTCAAGTTGATATTATCCACTCACAGCCTTTATTGCAGCCTGTGACATGTGATATTCCTCTTTGTACATGTAGCCCCAAAATGTCTTGTATTATGACAAATAATGCATGTAAAATTAATGTACAAGAAACTCATGGGCAAATGTTTCCTACACACTGAAACAGTATGCAAACCTTTGATGTGTGAGACTCCTCTTAAGACTAGTCTTCCCAACTCGTTCCTGACCGACGATCATGAGTCGTGTGCGGTGCACTTGCTTGTGGCCTTCCTTGAGTGCCTTTCTGTAAGCTTCTTGCTCTTGCTGCCCTCTTAATTCCTCAGGTACGTGGACAAATACAGCTTAAGGAAGAAGAAAAAGTTTACTGAAAAGCTAACACTCACTACTTCAAACAATACAAGGTGTCTCCAAGTAATTTTATTTTTTAAGTGTATTATCAGAGATGTACTGACTATTTCAGAAAGATGCAAAGATGTACAGGGCAAAGGCTATAATGTCCTCTATCCAACGGTATTAACTTCATTGTGTCATTGCCATTGATGACTGTGCAATCACCGCCTCTATGAAAGAAATCAAAATCAGCACTGTGACAAGTTTTAACCTTGTGGCAAAGGGCAGACAGGTGTTATTCTTTTGCTGCTACTTAACTTAAGGTAGGACAGGCCTGCCTAATGTAGGCATATCTGGATATGATCAATGAATTAATGGTACTACAGATGAAGCCAATCTTCCCAAGACAGCGACGCGTGTAGCATGCAGATGGGTGTGGCAGGCATTCTTTATTTCTTTCTTCCACCGAGGTGAATGGCCCCTAGATCACCAGATCTCACCCACTCTAACTTTTGCTTGTGGGGTCACTTGAAAGACAAGGTTTCCATCACGCCCAAGCTAACATTTAGGAGTTAAAAAGCAGAATAGTGGATGAGGTGAAGCAGCGTCAAGACCAAGCGTCAAAAGCAGCGTCAATTCATTGGTAAGACCAATGAATGGTAAGACCAATGAATGGTGACCAATGAATGGTAAGACCAATGAATGGTAAGACCAATGAATGGTGACCAATGAATGGTAAGACCAATGAATGGTAAGACCAATGAATGGTAAGACCAATGAATGGTAAGACCAATGAATGGTAAGACCAATGAATGGTAAGACCAATGAATGGTAAGACCAATGAATGGTAAGACCAATGAATGGTAAGACCAATGAATGGTAAGACCAATGAATGGTGACCAATGAATGGTAAGACCAATGAATGGTAAGACCAATGAATGGTAAGACCAATGAATGGTAAGACCAATGAATGGTAAGACCAATGAATGGTAAGACCAATGAATGGTAAGACCAATGAATGGTAAGACCAATGAATGGTAAGACCAATGAATGGTAAGACCAATGAATGGTAAGACATGCTGTCAGAGACATGATGCAACGATGAGCTTTGTATTAGAAGAATGGCAGTCATGCACAATGAGGGCACATGAATTTACCTTGTAGGCCTATAACTACATGTACCACAAAAATCAATCAAAAGATTAAATAATTAGAAAGATTATCTCATTTCATTCGAGCTCTGTTGTACATGTATTGTGTGCGTAGACAGTTGTGAACAATACATTGGGTTTCCTTGCCCACGATGTGCGCGCGCTTCTGTCCATGAAGGGAATGAGATACATCAAATTGTTGGTGGCGCGACCCCTTGCAAGCCAAGACACCCCCCCCCCCCCCCTGTCTCCAAGGAGTCATAATTTTAAGCTCTTTCACTACTTTAATGTACTTATTGTTAAAAAAAAACACTCAATGAATAAATAAATAAGCAAAGTTTAAAATACAGAACTGACAAATGACTGATAAGGCCAAAAAAAAAAAATAAGTCGGTCTCTGGTCAGCGGGCGCATCGATTTAATCATGCGTGTCGATCTTTTTTTTCCCCAAAATGTTCCACGGTAGCTCCAACAGCGCCCTCTATTTCCACACCTCCTCAATTTTTTTTACCAAAGAGCACCAAGGAATGGGAAATTGCACCAAAGGCAAATGATCGAAGCACCAAGGCAAATTATGGAGGACACCAATGTACATGAGGACACCAAAAAAGCAAAATAGTACCCCACCTTGTCTGTACAATCCAAGCTTGAAGAAAAAAAAAAAAAAGCCGCGAGGCCGCGTCAATTCCGGAACTTTGGTCTGACCAGAGACCGAATATTTTTTTTTTTGGCCTCAGCATCCAAACTGGCTTAAAAACATATAAAAATACCGACTGATTTAAAGCACAATTGATCTGCTGGTAATTATGGTAGATGTACTCACTTTGTGATGCCCAGTCTATCTTCACTCTTGGACCTAACATGAACATAGAAAATAAAAGACTTGAACAGATTGCCTTGTATGAGATTTGTGTCGGGGTGAAGCAATCCATAAAGTTACTGACGTAATTACTGTTGAAAAGCTTACTTGGTTTAAAGATAGTAATGGGACTAAACTCCCTGTGAAATTATTCTTTCTGGCAAGCTGTCATTTTGAAGAAATCAATGAAAGAAGGCCTTTCCAACAATGCGTCTAAAGACGCATTGTTGGAAATGTCCGCTGGTAGTTCGTTTTTATATATTCTGCAAAGAGGGTGCAAGCATTGACACGGCGCACACGCACACGCTATAATTCGTCAGTTCAGTACGCAATTAACATGGCGTAGCTGCAATCGTCTCAGCGAGAACGTGCCTCGGACGCTGAATTCAGGCCCACTTCAAATCATGACTCAGCAACTTTAGATTTCAAATCGAGATCCTAGAATATTGTTTTCTTGGAATATACAGCATTCACTGAACTGAAATTTCATCAGGTTAGTTGTTCAGCACTCTTCTTTAGATAGTGAGCACCTTTGTTGCTTCAAACGAACAAAATGCACAAATTACAAATAATGGACGCTACCTTTAAAATAAGGATTGACCTTTGCGACATAATTTTCTACATAGAATAGGCAGTGTTGTCCAAGATCTTTTGAGGAAAAAAATATTAAACGTGTGCTAGGATCCAACTAAATCTCAAGATTCTGATGCCGGTACAGTATCAATCGACCAGTTAATCCAGCAAGATTGGCGGAGAAGTGGTTACGATATCTGCACTAGCAAGCAGAAGCTCTTGATTTCCAATCTCATTTGTGCAAACTTGAAATTCTTTTCTGGCAAGCCCTCAGACAGCAACGAGTATTGAGTGCTTAATACAAAATTCCATTGTTGAAGGCAAGAACTTATCACAAAATGCCCTTGATGTCTTCAAAAAGCCATTAGTGACCTTGGGTAAATGATCTAGTTTAAAAAAACATGTAAACTGATGGTTTGAGTGGGCTTGTCGTGATGTGCTCTTCATCAGGTCAAGATCGCCCTCCCTCAACAGAGACCATGTGACCCAGTCAACCATGGATGACGATAAGGGTGTCAATCGCTTCTCAAAAGTGGGGGGGGGGGCCTACCTTGGTGAGCACTAATGCGAGCACGAAGCCCTGACGGCATGGGGTTAAGGGCCTGCTTAAGGGTCCCAAAAAAATGTGTATTCTACACCCTCTGTGGTGCGATCTGAGGCAATTTCTGACCACTTAAAACATGTTTTTGGGAGCAAAAGTCCGTCTTGTAAACATAATTTTCGAGTTTGGAGTCATTGAATCAGCTAACTAGGCTACCTTGTTTTATTTGGGGATGAAAAAATATGGAGGACAAACGATATGATATCCCCCCCCCCCCCCCACTTTAAAAGTGGGGCCCCCCCCCCCCCCCCCCCCCCCCCCCAACGATTGACGCCCATGGCTGAGGAAGCTTCGGTGAATGCAAGACAAAAGTTTCATGCTTCATATTTATTGTTGTAACTGTTTAATTTCATCACAATATGCAAACTGTACTTACCAACTATATTTGACATCTCCTTATTAGCAGACTTAATATCTTCAAGAATGTCTCTCCGAGACAGGTGCTGCATAAATGCCGCCAAGTTTTGAAACACATGAAGGGTGGCAGGCGATGCTTTCCTATTCATTAAACTGAGAAACTTTTGCACTGTTTTTGCTCGATGCAACTCGTCTTCAGTGATTCCAGTGTGTGTCCATAGATTGTTTTTGCGTATGAATGTTTTTACCTTATCTAATTCAGAATTGCTAAGCTTTTGACAGACTACAGAGTATAACTTTTTCACAACTCCAAGCGCCTGTTGGTTCTGAGCTTCTGAAACTTCCATTTTGCGCTTGGTAGGTTGGACGAATCTATCTCACAAAGCACTTGTCTTCCTGTAGATGGAAAAAGAATGAAAATCAAACATTTACACCCTTAGCTGAATGGCCCCTTGGCCGACTCGCCCCCTGAGTTGGAAGCTCCGATTTTCAATGGAATTTATGGTAAATGGTTTTGACAGAGAAATAGGGACTAAAATGCTTGTCCAGTAATTTGATTTAAAAAGGTTACAGAAATTTTAAGATGGTAGCAATGAAATCCTAAAGTAAAAAAACTTGAACTTTTATAATTGATTTACAGCAGTTAATAACGAGTTAAAAATCAGACCCAAAAGTCATAAGTAACACAGACAAAAATTGTACCATAGAGAAAGGACACATGATCGAACATAATTATACCAGCATCATGCAATTATACCCCTAAATAAAAGGTTACCCGTATTAAACCAAATACACGGAGAATAGTTTTTGTTATACCTCTGTCTTGAATACTGTATTTTCATTGGCCTAGAACGATCAATTGTTAAGTTATAAAAAGTCATGGCACACTCCCTGTGGGATAGGGAGAGTGCTATGACTATTAGTACGGTACATAGGGTGTGAAACGCTTGTATCGATGGTACCACCGTATCCACACTATTTTCGACATGTTTTCACACATGAGTGCGAGCACAGCCAACTAGCAGACGACATGGACTTTCAGCTGTACTATATTGTGATCATGAGGTCCGCCCTCTTGTGTGCGCTCTTCACCCGCGGCGGCGTAGTGCACGTGATGCATACATATAATTAGTAAAACAAAATGGAAGACAAGCCACCGAAATCGTCAAGATTTTTCACTTTTTTTTTTGTGGTCGGTTTCAAGTCGATCATTAGGCTTCGTAAATGAACTCTGGGGTGGAATATTAGAGGTGAAAATGAACAATTTTTGAGAGGCCATTTTTTTTAGCTTGAGTAACTCCAGCTGACATGTTTCATATTCATTCACATGTAGTGCTGGAGGAATAACCTGTTCGTTAGAATGTGGTAGCAATTAAGAGACCCTAAAAAAACGGCCTCTCCAAAATTGTCCAAATTTCACCTCTTTTATCCCACCCCAGAGTTCATTTACATACATGTACCTCATACATTCAGCAGTCATTTACGAAGCCTAATGATCGACTTGAAACAGACCACACAAAAAAAGTGAAAAATCTTGACGATTTCGGTGGTTTGTCCGTCTTCGGCTGTCTTCCATTTTGTTTTACTAATTATGTAAATGTATGCATCACGTGAAGACATCAAAAAAAATCTGCACGCGCGATGTATGTGGGTACCACACCGCTTTCAGGCGCCGCAAGTGAGTTCAATTTTCGTCTGGTGCGTTGTCGCGGAAAGCAAGACAACGAGAATGCTCTCCACGGCAACGCACCAGACGAAAATTGAACTCACTTGCGGCGCCTGAAAGTGTGTGGTACCCACATACATCGCGCGTGCAGATTTTTTTTGGATGTCATCAAGTGGTGCATACATTTACATAATTAGTAAAACAAAATGGAAGACAGCCGTTAGAACTGGCGTATTTTTACGGACAATTAAGCCACCGAAATCGTCAAGATTTTTCACTTTTTTTTTTTGTGGTCTGTTTCAAGTCCATCATTAGGCTTCGTAAATGACTGCTGAATGTATGAGGTATGGGGTGGGATAAAAGAAGTGAAATTTGGACAATTTTGGAGAGGCCGTTTTTTTTAGGGTCTCTTGCTACGTCTTGCTACCACATTCTAACGAACAGGTTATTCCTCCAGCGTTACTCCTAGAACTATGAGTACTCCAGCGTTACATGTGAATGAATATGGAACATGTCAGCTGGAGTTACTCAAGCTAATTTTTTTAGGGTCTCTTGCTACCACATTCTAACGAACAGGTTTTGCCTCCAGCGTTACATGTGAATGAATATGGAACATGTCAGCTGGAGTTACTCTGGTCTCGACGTCTCAAGCCAAGCTAGGCTTATCCATGTTATCAGAAAGTGCTGCCTTTTTCAGATGTCTATTTTTCGTGAAATTGCATGTTGAAATTTTGATACGCGAACATGTGCAAACGAATCTGGAAATTTCACGAAAAATAGACACCTGAAAAAGGCAGCACTTTCTTCTGATTAGCCTATAAAGGGTGAGTTAGCCCAGGTTGGACTCCGTTGTGTACCACAAGCCACGGCCCACGTTCACGGGTCTACTAGGCCCTAGCCCCACTAGTGTGGCCGTCGGTATGCTGCGCTGAACCTAAGGCCACACACCGTGGTCCGCGCACTACTGAGGGCGTTTTCATAAAATTTGCAGGGAATTTCTTACACATGGTTGTATTCTACGATGTCCCATCTATCACTTCTGGGATGCTTAGGTGTAATGATGTTCAATTTTCCGAGATATTCTTGAATCGTTCTGGAGCCCATATGCACTCGTGAAACGTCCGGTGATGGCAGCCATTTTGATTGTGACAAGAGATGACCTCAAGCTGTGACGTCGCGTTTATGCAAATTGCTTGTCGAGTGAGGGCGCGAGTTGCAAATGCGACGGCTGTTTCCTGTGCCGTAGATTGCTGTAGATCCTGAATAGAGATCAGTGCACGTGGCCCCCAGACGATAAATGCATGGTACAGGAAACAGCCGTCGCATTTGCAACTCGCGCCCTCACTCGTCACTTGGCGCATGACGTTACGCGGAAGCGTAACACCCGATGACTGTTTCATGCACTAATATAAGGTTTACCACTCGCATCACAGCTTTGGTACTGGAACCGCAACCAATAGTGCATGAAACAGTCATCGGGTGTTACGCTTCCGCGTGACGTCATGCGCCAACAGCCAGCACAGCCGGCAAAACCGAGTAGTTGACAGCGATCGCTCTCTGTGCCTGTTAATCGACCGCCATTCATATGCATTGTACACAATTCTTTTTTTGCACAAACCAATTGCGGTCCTGGCCATGCCAGCAAGGTTGTCAGGTTAGCGGTTATTCCTCCTGTTTTCACTGCAATTGTAGGCTGAATCTTCATCGTGGATCGTTTTTTACTTCAAGGACCTGTGTAATGGTTATTCCAGGCAAGTTTGGGGTGAGTTGCAGTTGCAATTAATGTGTAACGGGGACAAAATTGAACATTTTCCAAACATTTTTGCCTATACTACAAGTTACGAGAAAAACTCGCTCCAGCCCTAATAGTAATAGACAACCCAATGATAAAACTCAGGGCTGGGTAACTCCAGCTAGGGCTAACTTGGCCCTAGACCGTCAAGTCAAGGATACTTTACCTTTGGCTTTGCCTTTTGTTTTGGCAGTTAAGAAATGTCATTCAAGTTCTAGCGCCGGCTGCTGTCCAATCCAGTTTCACCAGCGCGGACACATTAATATTAAATATAATGCCCACTTAATCTAAAGCTTTATCCACGTCTACGCCGCGGATCAGCTCCGGTTAAGGTTTCCTGGCCCTCCCGCCAAAACTTCTTGAGCGAATTTCACGACGTGGGAATTTCCCGGAAAGTATCAAAGTGCGCCCCCAACGACGTGAAAGTTGGTCGAAATTTCGGATCCGTTCCAGCTTCGTCTTCATCGCCAGGTAGCTGCGCCGGAAAATTGGTTAACTGCGGAAAGCAACACCTTAACGACGTTACTAGCCTCTGGTTATATTTTTTAATCTTCAACTTCATCTTGATACATTGGCAACAGGCCAAACTTGGCCCATGACGCCATGGGGTGCAGAGTGTGTTCAATTAAGTCCAGGTTGGATGGCCCGCCTTGAACAACTCAAAGGACTTTAGGGAGGTGATGGACTGGGGGAGTTCTTTCCACACGGTCTGGGGGAAGAAAGAGTTTTGGTACTTGGTAGTTCTGGTCTCAAGCCGGGTACGTACGCATCCTGGTTGAAGTGGCGACTGGATAGCCCCATAAATGTGGCCAATTTACTGGACTACCTCGATCCATAAAGGCCACACTTGGAACATGTACAAAAACATGTCGAACTTTTTCAAATTTTGATTTTCACATTTAGGCTTATATAGTTTGTAGTTTATTTTTGCTTTAGAAGCATACTTACCCTCTTTATAGGCTAATCAGAAAGTGCTGCCCTCTTCAGATGTCTATTTTTTGGAAATTTGTTGAAATTTTGATACGCAAACGTTGCAAACGAATCTGGAAATTTCACGAAAAATACTAAGGCAGTACTTTCTGATTAGTCTATAAAGAGGGTGAGTATGCTTCTAAAGCAAAAATAACCTACAAACTAAGCCTAAATGTGAAAATCAAAATTTGACAAAGTTCTACATGTTTTTGTATATACGTGTGCCAAGTGTGGCCTTTATTTACTACGGAGGCAGTCCAGTAAATTGGCCACATTTATGGGTGTGGATTTTATAAAAGTGAGTAAGTCTGGTATTTTTCCGCCTATCTGCTTAGGAATCCCATTTTAACATCTCGACCATCTTGGTGACGCTGGATGTACGCCGGTAATCTTTGAGAACAAACCGGACAGCTCTGCGTAACCTTGTCCAACATCTGGATGTATTTGGCTTGGTAAGGATCAGTAACTGCAGCGGCGTATTCATGGGCGACGCCAGGATTTTTTTCAGGGAGGGAAGCAAATTTTTTCCCAAAAATTCCTTAACTTTTTAATTATATTCTCAATTTATCATTTTTCCGAGCGTGAGCAGGGGAGCATTTGCCCCCCCCCTCCATCAATTAAATAAACAGCAATATGGCTTCGCACCTCTTTTTCCTTTTTTTTTTTTCCTTTTCCCTTCCCCCCCCCCCCGTTTTCTAGGGGGGGGGGGGGGGGCAAGTGCCCCCCTTGTCCCCCCCCCCCCCCGCGACGCCCATCGGCGTATTCAAGAATTTTACTAACGGTTAATATTATGTCATGCTAATATTATGTCATTATGGCAGAACAAGGTTTACAACTGAGCCGGAATCTCCTCCAGTTAATGGTCGAGGACCAAAAAAAACATCCAAAAGCTAAAAGTTGCAAAGCAACATGAGAGGTTATTATCAGCAACAGTGGTTTCACCTCGCACGCCGCTGCCGTAAATATTACCAAAGCTTAGGAAACCCCATGCAGCCTCAAGTCATTCTAAAGGTTCATGACATCAGAATCTCGCCATTAGGCCCTAAATGTCAAATTCGACGGTATCATGAGAAAGGGCATGGTAAGCGTACTAAATGCAACCTTTGGGTTAAAACGACTGGAAAACGGCCGCTACAATCGGCCATCGATAATCCCATAGCCTAAAGCAAAAAGAATTCTCATCATGCATTAAACAAAGCGTTAGGAAGGACATTTTGTCAGACGTCCTTCAAACATTCTACAAGATTGAACAAGTTTGGAATTAAATATTATATCAAAATGCATTTTTAGACTCTTGGTGTTTGAGAGAGGATGTTTGAAAAGTATGATAATATTGGGGTTTTTTTAATCTCCTTACAATAATGCATGCTTTGATAAACCCCATTCCCATCTCTACCCCGGCTCCGTCGTCAATCACAAAAACAGGTTCCCGTTCGTATGTGAACCTAATATTAAAAAAAAAAAAATCGAGACTTGACTTGACTTGGAAAAAAAATTGACTTGAGACTTGACTTGACTTGCTAAAATTTGACTTGGGACTTAACTTGACTTGACTTGACTTTGAAAAAAATGCCTTGGTTACAACTCTGCCGAACTGATTTGGGTCTATGCGCGGTTCAATGTCCTCCATGAGCCACTCCAATAACGAATAACACTGCGACTTTGGCGAAATGATCAGTTAATGTAATAGGTCGGAGTTGACTCCGTGTACGGGGGTGTATTTCCTCTCTGTGGATTTTAGGTACTGGAACGACAGCTACTTTCTTCCTCTGGGGAGGAACTACTGATGCTTTTACGAAAACGTCACAACGTGGTAGTATTTTATCCTCTAGTCTTAACTACCACAAAAATACCAAGAAACCATTTTGCCGAGCCTCCAGATAACCGGTGATACCTTCGATATATGTACCTTATGGTAACTGATTGTTTGACAATTGAGAATACATGTATATTACCTGAATTTATAGCTACATTGGCTAATTCCGAAGAATATTTGTGATGGGGTATGAAACAGCCCTTGTAAATAGCCCTTGAGTTGTGGAAATAATGTTTGGACTCCGTTGAGTACTACCCGCGGAGTTTACATGATTTGGGCCAAGTATCTTGCATAATTTGCGCAATGTTTACTATAAAGTAAACCAAATATTTTGCAAATAGATTTGTTGAGAAAAGACCTTATTATTCACGAGGAATCCATTTTGATTGTGTTCTCTGAATGTATTTTGTGATGGTCACCGTACCCGACTATGCGTTCAAAAATGTGACTTAAAACATACTAGGCCTAGGGTGTGTTTAATCACAAATTGTAAACTATTCGTCAGACCACACAGGTGTAAAGTTGTAATTAACTTCATTTTATTGTTTAATTTCATTTCTATTCCCAAGTTTTGAATGTGTACCTCGCTTTCAATTTAATATGGTCGACTCGTGAATAAGGTGCTTTTATATTCAGGGTTCTACTGTGGGCGAAGGACTTAATTGCTGTCCAGTCTCCAGTCAAGGCCGTTGCAAGGGCAGCTGGGACCGTCTAGTCGACTCGGTGAGGGAGGGCCAGGAGTTGCCGTTGCCACACACACTCTGCACCGAGCCTATGGTTCCCCTTATCAAGCCATGCCTAGTATCAGGTAAATCAACCATCGCCCTATGACGGCAGAACCGTCATAGTTTGCAGACTCAAATTGAAATGGACAAACTCAACTTCAATTTACACTGACTGGAAAGAAATTACCAGCTCAACTCAACGTTAGTGTATTGATGAATTTATCAAAAAGAAATGTCCTTAATTAGTAAAAGCTTTAGCAGGTAAGAACAATTTACCAACAAACCCAATGATTGAATGTGAAAAGAACTGGTAGAAAACAGACCCCCATCCTGTGAAATTATTCTCTCGAAGTGGCATTTAAAGGTGTGTACGCCAGCGGTTCTAGTTTAAACAAAATTCACTTTTAAAATTTGAGGATATTAATTATATCCTGCGATGATAACCTATGCACTGGGACCTTGACGTCACAAAGTGGGTGCAATTCAGATATTACATGACAAATGGAATCAAATCAATTAAGATACCAAAATCTTATTGATGCCGCTTTTTTTCTCAAAAAGTAAAATATCCATTGAGCTGAAACTTCATCAGTGTGGTTCAACATATGAGCTATTTTGTTTTGCTCCAATGAATTAAAAAAAATAAACCTAGGTAGGTCTACCCTACCTGATCGAGTTTTCGGGTAGTAAGGGAAATGATGACTACTTAATGACTAAGTAGAATAGCGTGGGGAAAGTCAGACAATACGCGAAAGCCTGTACTGTCCCTTCACCGGAATTCATGTAATTACATGTTCAATTATAAAACTCTTGATTGCTCAAAATACCTATTAATAACAAATACGAAATATGAATAGACTAAAAGTTAATAAACTGAAACACTTCAACTTGAAGATTTGATAATTATAATAATAATGATAATAATTAATTTTATATAGCGCATTACATACGAAATCTCAATGCGCTTTACAAAAAATTTACTCCAATACTTATAAAAAGCTAAATATATATTACTAGTCCATTAAAACGTTTAGTTTGAATGTTATTAGAATACATTTAAAAAGCTCATAAAACTACTAATACATCAAAAAGTTAATTAAAATATACGGTAAGACCCATAAGAAATGCATTAAAAAATCACATTCACCTGGCTGGACGATTTCTTAATAAAAATAATGATAATACACTAATAATTATAATAATTATACACTACATGTTTGACCGCAATCAAACCACAATGAACACTTGGGTTTGCCATTCTTTATTCTGGACAGGGTGCAGGTATCCTTTATTTTGAGCAGGTGTTTCATTTCAATTCAATTAAACATTTATTCCAAACTCCTTCTGGAAAATACTTCGATAATTAATCGGTTCATAGGAAAATAACAAAATCAATATATATCGAATAAATAATAAACAAAAATAATCTACGCTTGGAACTAATAATAAAATAAAAAGTATTTATCTATTTATACAAGAGAAAATAAGAGCACGAGGCTGTCAAAGTAAGCCGAGGCTTGTGGAAAATAAACAGCCCGTACAGACAAAACAAACATAACAACAAACACTACAAACGAAACAGGGACGGAAAAGACACGACAGAAAATACATGACAAAAGCTGACGGCAAAATAATACAAAGAAGGAATGTAATAGCTGATGACGGCTAAAAATTGTAAAGTATTGAAGTATGATACCCATAATTATACACTACACGAATTTAGTCAAGTACACAACCACCTGCAGGATTATACAGGGTGAGTAAAAAAAAAAAAAAAAAACGAAACCCAAATGTCGGGACCATTGTTTTAGTGAAGTTCTTTATGTAACACTTTCAAAATCTAGGATATGAAAGCCCAATTCATAAGCTTTCTTTTAGTACAAGTATCATTCAAATCATTTCACTGAATGATGTAATTTTCAAGTTACGGAATTTTAAACACAACCACCGTTTTAAAGTTTTGTCCACGAATCATAAAAAGGTAAGTGTTTTTTTCAGCAAAACGACAACAAATTTCCCATAGGGATGTTTGTGAATTGTTTTCGTTTTGCTGAAGGACCTAACACTTTTTTTGGTGATCCGTGGACAGAACTTTAAAACGGTGGCTGTGTTTAAAATTCCATAACTTGAAAAGTACATGATGAATTGGGCTTTCATATCCTAGATTTTAAAGGTGCTACACGCAGAATTTCACTAAAACAATAGTCCCAACATTTGGGTTTCGGGGTCTTTTTACTCACCCTGTAAAGCTTAATTGTTTCTAAATAACGGACACTGCGTTTCCAGTTGAAATTAAGTTTTCTGTGCTGTAATGTTTTCTTGAACACACATCAAAACAATCATTCACCAGATTATATACATTAAAAAAATGTCTCTGTACAGTAAAGGCACATCATCCTTACAGCATGTAACAAGTGTCATACATCTTTCTTAAACAGCTTATCTAAAACAGATTCAAATGCATATCTAATGCATGTTTGACAGTATGACATAATTAATTACATTAGACTGTGAAATATAATATAGCCATCCAAAACTATTGTTAAAATAGGCCTAGGCCTATATGTGGATTCATTTTTTTTACAACCATGTTGTATTACAGCGAAAATACTCAGTTTGATTACGTTAGTTACAAGAATAAAATGACTGTTCCAAGATAAGAATTATATTAGCATCATTATGAGGTTGCGTTTGTCTTCTTAATATTATTTCATTCAAACTCATAACAATAATCCATAAGACATACAGTAAAATATTTCTTTAATTCTGAGGTATAGGCACATCAGCATACTGCAGCTGGTCGATGACCTTTCTTAAACTACTTCAGAATATATTCGGCATCATGACATATTAAATATATTTGTGATGGCATAGCATATGAGGATGAAATACTAAACTGGTGTGATTAAAGTACTGCTGTACAGGACACATATACACCGAGTTGTATCAAAAAGGGAAACATTTAACGTGTTGGTAAAATGGGAGCTGTTTACTCGTACTGCAATGAGCTAAAAATGAGTAGCAAGTATAACAAGATAGCCTGCATACTGTGGCAACTTTGATCAGCAATGGTTTGATAAAAAAACTATTGCTTTTATACTTCCCATCATGTCTTAATCTATTAAGTAGAACTTCTAACAGGACAAACAAAAAACCTTGAAGTAAGATCGATGTTGTTGTAACCTTTAAGACATACATTACTCTCAAGTAGGTTACCCACAGGTAACATATTTATAAAAGCGCTATTGGCTTCAGCCCCCCCCCCCCCCTTCCACCGGGGAAGGGAGGGGCAGGGGGAATGGCAGGGGGTAGAAGTTGATCCCCAACACAGCCCCAATCCCAGTCCAGTGGAAGGTCAAGGATTTTTTTTTTTTTTTTTTATTTAGTTACTGGCCGAGGTGTTGAAGTCGATGCATAGACAGACTACAGGATTTAAGCATTTACTTAAGATTCACAATGTTGTATGACCTTATTCTTTCTCTAAACTTAAAAAAAGGTCAGAACTTTCCATTAAAATATACCTAAATCATCAACATTGGTCATACTGATGGTATAGGGCGGGGAGTGGGGAGTATGGGGGAGGGCGTATATAGCCCAATCGATCACCCCATGAATCTGCCATTCGATCTGGCTCTCCACTGTACACTACCGGAAGTACAAATGTAGGGCTGGTAACTGTTTTAGTATTTTTGCACCTTACCAGCCAGTTCGTTTTTATCAATTTTTCCAAGTGCCTCTGCCATCTGTTTCTTCATCTTCACCACTTCGGAGTCTCCTCCCTTGAACCTCTGCTTCCAGTTTGTAAGCATGGAGAAAATTGCATCGCCAACACTACCTGGGTGATCTGCCTTAAACGTGAATATTTCTGCCGGTGTGAAATCAAGGTAAGTGGCCAACCTCTCCCATTCTCCACCGAGCTCTTTAGCTATCTCTCTCAGGTGGATGAACCTAAACGGTTGCTTGTCCTCTGTTTCCACAAAACAAACCAATTAAATCAATCATCAAAACCAAAAATATGAAAAACAAGTCAGGTGTGTTTACAAACACAAATGCCCCGCAACGGTGACAGTTCCCATGACATTACACCACTCTTTTAACATCAACTTACATGTACCTTGGTCACATGGAACATTCATTGACAGCATTAGTGTCTTCTGTAGGTTTTATATGAATTAATCCCTAATCCCTATAATCTCAGAATAAATACATGATTTCTATTGTTTTAGCCACTGTGAACTTGACCCTTGACCTTTTGGCCCCAAATTCAACAGGCTTCTTAGGATTACCAAGAACAATCCACAAACCAAATTTGAAGTTCATATGTTAACTATTTCTCAAGTTATCGCGCTGACAAGATTTCTATTGTTTTAGCCACTGTGAACTTGACCCTTGACCTTTTGGCCCCAAATGCGATAGGCTTCTTAGGATTGCCAAGAACAATCCACAAACCAAATTTGAAGTTCACATGTAAAGTATTTCTCAAGTTATTGCGCTGACAAGATTTCTATTGTTTTAGCCACTGTGAACTTGACCTTAGGCCTTTTGGCCCCAAATGCAAAAGGCTTCTTAGGATTGCCAAAAACAATCCACAAACCAAATTTGAAGTTCACATGTAAAGTATTTCTCAAGTTATCGCGCTGACAAGATTTCTATTGTTTTAGCCACTGTGAACTTGACCTTTGGCCTTTTGGCCCCAAATGCGATAGGCTTCTTAGGATTACCAAGAACAATCCACAAACCAAATTTGAATTTCATATGTTAAGTATTTCTCAAGTTATCGCGCTGACAAGATTTCTATTGTTTTAACCACTGTGAACTTGACCTTTGGCCTTTTGGCCCCAAATGGAAAAGGCTTCTTAGGATTACCAAGAACAATCCACAAACCAAATTTGAATTTCATATGTTAAGTATTTCTCAAGTTATTGCGCTGACAAGATTTCTATTGTTTTAGCCACTGTGAACTTGACCTTTGGCCTTTTGGCCCCAAATGGAAAAGGCTTCTTAGGATTACCAAGAACAATCCACAAACCAAATTTGAAGTTCATATGTTAAGTATTTCTCAAGTTATCGCGCTGACAAGATTTGTCCGGACACACACACACACCCATATACCCACACACCCACCCACACACCCACCCACACACCTACCCACGGAAGGACAAGGCGGAAACAGTATGCCCCTTCGGCTTCGCCGCGGGGCATAAAAATGAAGAAAATGAAAAGGGTACACCCTGCTGATGAAAAGGGTACATCCACATAATGAGGGAAATCGTGAAGCAAGTGCAGAACCCTAACAATTAAAGTGCATCATCGACTGGCCACAAATTAATCTTGCTATTGTGGTAGTGGGGTAAGATAGTTACTATCTTCAATGAATCAACACTTCTGCCTGATACTCCTACACTGATAGCAAACAGCGGGTTCACAACTTAACACATTTGCGGTTTTCGGAACGGATATGGCAGATAAACACAGAGCAAGGCCGGAAATATCTGTCAGCGACCCGCTCGCAGCGAGCGAGGCCAGGAATATCAGGGTGTGCTACCCGATGACGGTCTGAACCCCTCTGGGATGGAGGTTCGTGAAAAACAATCCTGTGCCTGGGTCCAGTCACTGTCAAAATAATTCCGCATGAACTGGTTAATTGTATATCAGACATACAACTGGGAATTTACAAGCAAGAGGAAAATGTAAGCTGTACAATTAGACTCTGCAGTGCTTTTCAATTTTGAAGGGAATACAAGAGAAGTAGGACAAATTGTATGCCTGATGTATAGCAGAAGCCAACCCAAAATGTAAGCATCTTTTGCATGTTATTTCGCCCACATCAATATGAACACTTTTCAACCACTCATATTTCAAAAGATGTACATGCAGTGTAGAAGATAACATTTTGCCGAAATTTGCGTGACGCCCACATCTAATTTTGTAAGCAAATGTGACATGGTCTATTTGCAACTACAACACACAATGTACCTACCAATAGCTGTCGGTTCTTCCTCAGAGCTTTCCTGGTTGAACATGGCTCGGAATGGGTTTGTTGGGATCACTTTTTGAGGTGACTTCTCAATCCTGCAGGAAACCTCCGGATTCTCCAAGCACTTGTCCAGAGGTAACAAGTGAAGTGAGCCGCGCTGGCACGGGCATTCAACGCTGAGAGTGTAATTGATTCGCTTGATCCACATGTCTTTTAGGTTTTGTAGATTTTCTTCTACAAAATCATGGACCTGTTTCAGAAGAAAAGTTTATCTTAAATTATATAACAGCAGCCTTCGGAACTTACTTCAATTGGAGGAACATAGTATAAAGCCAGAAGCATTGGGATATTTGAAAGATGGAGGAAAACAGATGAGGTTTGCTGTTTTCATCATTACACCGTCACTAATACTGTAAAGAGGTGTTGGATATTTGAAGCAACTCAGTGGCAAAAAGTCAAAAATTTATTTGGATTAGAAGATGCAATTTCACTTGAACAAGTTATTATAGTTGTCCATTTACTTTAAACTCCCTTTCCCTTCAGTTTATTACAAAACTTACTGGTCAGTGGAAGGAATTATAGTCTTTGGCTTTACATCTTTTTGAAATCCTCTTTAAAAACTTTGGGCAGATCCAAGAACTATTCAAATGGAGTAAGACGACATGTAAAAGTCAACCGCCATTGAGACCAAAGACCTCCAGCAATGACACGCAATTTTACATTTTGTTAAGATTTTTGTCCCGAGGAAGGAGTGTGGAATTGGTTTCCTCAGTAACAGAAACAATTCTTATGCATAAACCAACCTTAGAATTAAACTAAATAACAACAGTACAGCACCTTTTTGGTGATATCTGGTGATGGTGTTTTCTTCCCAGTTGTCTTTTGTTGTTTGAAAGGTCTTGTATGGACGACTTGTGCACGCATGACACTCACCTTTGTCAAAAGGTCACACAAAAGACATGAACTTTTTCTTTAAGGCTACATCAGTAAAGTCATAATTATATTAGGCCAAAAAAGCCTCCAGTTTCTGGTCTGTGTGCACCATAGCCATGCGCATCAGCAAAAAATTTTTATGATGTCTCAAAACAGCCAAACTCACTGGTTTGACTGGAATCCTGCTGCTGCAAAATTTTAATGTGTTTTAATTATAAGATGGGATTAGGATCGATTAATAGCTTTATGTGGTCTCTCTGGGCTCCCATATATTTTGCTCTAAATTTTGTTGAGCACCATTTGCAGACAGTGTTGTAAATATTTTGAAATTGTGTGTCTGGAAGCCAGACTGAGGGAGCAAGGTTGTGTATTCTTGAACCTGTAAAGGCTTTTTAATTAGCGTACTACGCAAGGGAGCAGACTAATGACCAGCCTGGCAGCAATGCACGATGTTGATGTCGCTATTTGGTCTGACGTTATTGTTTTCTCTGATTTTTGTCTTGACTATCCCAGTTTCTCGAAGAATGTTTGTGTGGTCGAGATCGTAAGTGGGTGCAGAATTATCAAGCCTTATGGCCTTACTGAGGTCACCTCAAGCTATTTTTTGAGAGTTTTAAAGGGATCAAAAGTGTCAACTGCAACATCAGCCGACATTTGAAGTAAAAAAAAAAGTATGGTTACAAAAAAGCTGCGGTGCCGCCGCCGCACCACTTTTGGGGCAAGCTCTATACCAGAAGCCGGAGACTTTTTGGGGGGCCTTAAGGTTGAATAGAGAATTGACAGGAGCAGGGTTTATACCTCCGGATTGCCGTTTCAGTGCTCCATCAACTGGGCTCTCCTGTCCTGTTTTGGCATCTGCCCGATTTGTCAATGTCCAAAATGTACACATTTCAACTCTTTGAGGTTCATAAAAATGTTAACATTTGGATGTTATCCAGCACACCTTGGAATAGCTTTGCCCTCAATTTTTGGAAGTTGGCTTCATCAGCTATTTGCACAAAATTGTGAGCTCATAGTTTCTCCCAATATTATGAGGGAACAGTTGTTCTGTATGGTGAATTTTGTAGCGGTGGGCTACATATGCACGGTGTGTAGATAAGTTGGTTGGATTCCCAGTGCTGGGGGGGGGGGGGCAATGCACATGACATGCCAAGCAGTGAACACTGCCCTAAGGATATTCAAATCAAAAAGTAAAAACGGCAAGCTCTCCGGATCCAATAAGACTTGTGCTAACTTATAACCTGGCCCCCGTAGCAAATGCTGTTTAATCATAACAATAGATTAATGCACTTACATTTTTTCAAACACACTGGACTAAATCAAATATTTACTTTTATGAAGGCAAGGTTGTTTTGGCGAGCAAGTTGGAGCGCAAACTCGTGTTGGACATCAACATAGAAACTTCCACGTTCATACTGCAGATTGGGATCTTTTCCTCCCAGATCCTGAGACCATCGCAACGCTCGTACAACCAACCGATGAAACAATCCATCTATTGCAGGAAAGACAAACGTTTGGCCCGTGAAAAACTGTGCATGAATAGCATATAGGTGGTGCTGTATACAGGGTTGCCCCTGAAAAATCGAAACGGCATATATACTTCCACTACCTTGAGACTCACATTACACCACCTGTACCAATGGATTGAGAATCTGTTTAGAAGAAATTTGATACCAAGATCTCCTGATGTGGTCCAGTAGTTTTGCTTCAGAGCCATTTAAGGACACATCTTTCATGTGGGTATTATTACATAACAATTAATCCCTCTATCCAATTAAATCAAATTTGCGGGCGCAGTGTAGCAACTCATTGGGACAAAATGACTTCCGACTTTGTTTCACAAAAAAGGCTCTAGAACAAAAACTACCTGACCGAATCGGGCGATCTTGGTATCATATTTCTTTAAACAGAATTTTCCATAGGTTGTTTAAGTCTCAGGAAATATTGCAATGCCGTTCCTTTTTGGGGGGGGGGGGGGTCCACCCTGTATTATGTCTTCTTGTGAAATTGGCCTCAGGTCAACCTGCGATTTGCTTGTGCCTTGACAGAACTAGCCTGGTCAAGGCTTTCGTCGATAGTGTCCGTGAAGATATCTGAAATCAAACACTATAGCTGCAGATATGCACTGTACAAAGTGCAAACAGTGGCCTCATATGGCTAATATGCACGTTAGTTGGATACATGCAGTGCACATCTTTCTTTTTAGAGGCCATATATACCATCACAAGGTGGCAGTGTGAAATTACTGGCCCCAAGATGATGGTTGATTTGACTACCTCCCAACACAAAGCAGGAGATTGTCAAAAAATGGGAAGCTCACCACCACACGCATTTCCTGCATGTATATTCTGTGAACCTATTTTTGCTTACCTGGAAGGAATCCTTGAAAATCCACAAAAAACACGCTGGCGTTGTCCTGCTTGTCACTCTCCTGGCTGACTGAGAACCGCTTCTGCAGCATCGAGGGCACGTAGTAAGAAACGGTAGGGCTAGTGGGATCATTGTGCTATTGGCAAGAAACAATTACATACTGTGGGTCAGAACAATCGCAGTGCAATAACAGATTACAAACGATAAGCACACTGCTACTTGCCTATGCTTGAAAATTAAGCATCCTGTCACGTATGGCATTGCCTCATGTATGCAATGTGCACTGAAATCACCAACATAAAATGTGCACTGGACAAAACAAGTACAACATGCTAATTTGCTGTTTGCCATGCTAATTGAATTTTTTAAAATTTCCTCATAGCTAAATTGGAAGAGAGAGCATCAAAGCATCAATTTGTTACAGTTCGCATTTTTTACTGTGACAGCAATTAACTTGAGTAAATGTTGTTTACCTAAATTTGTTAGCTTTCTCATTTTTTTCTAATTATTTACACTCGGTGACATTACATATTGGCATTAGTCTACTAGATGCAAGTCAATGATTTCAGTGATATAATATTGTGGCTAAAGAATAGTGTTACCCAGCTGTCATGTGGTAACGTTATTTCTATTGGGCAAAGACAAAAGAGAGCACTGTTGTAAGTACGTCTGGTCACTTTGCCAAAATATGTGAAAGTGTTTATTCAAACATCATAATAAACAAACAATGTACAAGAAAAGGTTAAGTCAGTTTCCTAAATAACAACGCTTTAAATCAGTATGGCCAATACTATCAAACTTCAGGAGAAACATCACTTTAAAACTAAAGGCCAACTACATGTACTATCTAACCTACAGGGGAAACTTAACTTAATAATCTCATGGCCACAACTACCAGAACTCTTATCTGCCATGTCTTAAAGATAAACACACTACTCAGGCTGGCCAGCACCCTTGTTGCTATAGCAACAGACTTTCCACTGTATGGCTCAACTCCAGCCAAGTCAATGGCCTGGGGCATACTACTGCTCCCCCAGTGCTACCCTTACTGTGTGACAGGTGGTCTTTCCATACTACACACACAAGCACATCATTGTTCTAGCTAGCCTAATTAGTATTCACTCTCCACAACGTGGCAAGGCCATGCTTCAGCTTATCTATATACACTCAGTGCTTGCAATGGAAGTTTCCTTGGCTAAATGGTGAAACTTACATTCAATGTCAAAATCCACAAGCACAATTTAAAAAACATACATGGTCCAGATTCTTAAATGAATGAAATCCAAGTTATCAATTCCACAAACATTCACCAAACTTTCCTCAAATCCAGGAAACTTAGTGAAACCTTCCATGAATAACTGAAGTGAATAACTAAAGTAAAGTTGCTAAAAACTAATCAAACTTATATCATCTTAAATCTCATCCAAAGTTACAAAAAGTGAATATACAAACAATAATGAAAATATCTAAGCATCATAAAACAAACTTCAATCTTGTCAATCTCTAGATAACTTGGCAAAAGAGTAAACTTGACAAATTCAAAGAACAATTTACCTTCAACCAACTGATCAACTCAAGTAATTGATTGTATACTCCAAGTAAATGAAAATGTGAACAACAGAAATAATGGAACCTAGATGTGAATAAAAAGAAAGAAACATTTGTACATACCTATTGGGCAAAGACAAAATAGAACACTGTTGTAAGTACGTCTGGTCACTTTGCCAAAATATGTGAAAGTGACCAGGCACACTCACATGCACTCTGTGTTGTCTTTGGCCAATTCCAATTTTTTATGGGGGTGTTACTTTCTACAAAAACTTCACTCTGGAGGGGTTGTACTACAGAGGGGTTCTACAACAGATATAGCATGGTTTAAACTTCTCCACTGACTTAGATGTTACCATATAAGGCAATCGTATGTTATGCAGATAAGATGCAAAGCCATGGGAGGCTACCCTCCAATCCGGAGAGAGGAGGCACAACTTTTAACCAATGAGAAAGTTTGCTGTGTCTATGTACACTGATGAGGAGTGATGAGTTGGCTTCATAGCCCCACAGCCTTTTGATCTAACAACATGTCTACAAATTAACTGCAACATGAATTGGAAACAAAATTAGAAAAACAACTATGGGGAAAGTGGATTGACAAAATATGACCCTAAATAGCAAAAAGACAGTAGTACCTGATCGACTCGTTCGCAGAGTAAGTCAAACTTGCCCATCAGATCCAGAAGAGCCTGTTTCTTAGGAAGAATGTCTTGCCACATGTGGCGGATAAGTATATCCTCCAAAATGCCATCTTCCTTGAGGCGATTCCAAGACTGGACATGATCAGTCATCTGAGGATAGAATGATTTATTAATACAATAACTGTTAGACTTGGTTATGATTGAGAAATACCCGCAGTGGCCAAATATGACTCTCAGAGGCGGCAGAGGGGGGGGGGGGGCACTTTCCCTAAGTGACCCTTTGTGAACATAAATGTGCCCCCTCGAGCATATATAAGCTGGAGATGAAAAATACCTGCAGTGAAAACAAAAATCTGGCCGTAACATCTCATATAATTTGTTTACAACTATTTCCCAAAATGGTATGGAGATTTCTGGTATGTACGAGGAATATAAAAACCAAGCCCAGAAACCCTCACAATGCACCCTGAAAATGGCCACGCAATGCATAGTGTGCATATTGGCCGGTTTCGAAGAGCGCACCCTATTCTGGAAAATGGTACCAGGCCCCCCATCCCTCCTATTTGATTTTACGGAGGCCAAGTTTCTGGTTACAAAAACGTGTCGACATTTCAGCAAAAATTAATGTTGGATATACGCTGCTGCACCGATGGAAGATGCCTTTTACTGAACAAGTGCCCCTTTTTGGTGATCCCCCCCCCCCCCTCCAGTTTGAAAACTGTTCTGCTGCCGCTGACGACTCTTGGGATTAATAAAAGATAATCTAACCTGTCTTTGAGGGGGCGTAACTGTAATGACCTTCTTGAAGACATCAATCAGCCACTGCGGATCCAGAATGACCACATCTTTCAGCGCCTGGCTTTTCTTGTCACCGTCCCCTCCAAAGTATATTATGTGGCCAAGATCATGGTAGAACTTCAGCATCGTCAACAGTTCAGTTTCGTCTTCAACACCAAAGGCCTTCTTTATCTACAAAGCCATAGTTAACATTAAAAAGACAATTAAATTGCAAGCTAATCACCGAAAAATAGATTGTGAGTTATCACAGAAACAATACACATCACGCTTGCCTGATTATTTTACTGGTTTTTTTTCTTCGACTTCTCACATACTTCTAAAAATTCACAATATTTTGGATTTCAATATTTTGCAAGTATGAACGTACACTGACCTCTAATTTCACTTAGCAAATAAGAATATAAACCATAATTTGTAAGTTCATAAAGGGGCAAACAATATACACAGTTTGTTATAAATCTGTAGCTAATCTTTTAAAATATGCCGACAGTTGGATATGAGGCTTGTCAAATGTTTTCAACAGTATATTTGTCACTGAAAAGTAATACATTTTTACCTATGTCTATATGAACAGCAATTTTGGCTGTTGATATTGTTTCCATGCAGAAGCATGCCAATGAAAAAAATAACAATTAGTGTGGAATGACTATGACTTGCCACCCATATATTTTGTCCATGCAATAAGCATGTGAGAATCAATTGCTCCGGTGACTGCATGGTCCAAACAGGCCATCTACATACTCCAAACTGCTTCAAATTACCTGATTCAAGTTCAGGACGGGTGTCTCTGTGCCGCGCGCGGATCGGATGGCTACCTCTGTCATTTTGTTCCGATCAAACTTGAGCCAGCGCAGAGGGATCTCCTCACCCATGTAGGGCTCTTTTCTTGCCGTGGCCTCTATGTGATCTCGTAAGTGGGAGATCTGTTTGGATGAGAATTCATGCAAGCTATTATGGACTCTGCATGCACAAGTACTGCCTCATTACTCGTAACAAAAAGAGAGTTAAGCCCGGTTCATACTTCAAGCGAAAGTGAATGCGAAGCGAATTTGACGTCACGAAGCAATTTCGCTGCGAAATTCGCCCAAGTTGAAATATGTTCAACTTTTACGAATTCGCAGCACGAATACTTGCCATGACGTCACAAATTCGCTTAAGCAATGTGTCCCTCCATAGGAGCTCTTGTGGGCAGTCCTGAAGCACCCTCCACTGTTCATGCACACAGTCCATTAATAAAATTGAAGAGCACTGACTCAATTAAAAAAAGGTGTAGAGTGTTTAAAACATGTGTGACATGCACTTTGCTTATCTATGAAAATTATTTGACATCCCTTTTTGGTTATTTGTTATTAAAAACTGCACTTCTTTATTATTTGTTCCATGCTTCTCCCGACAACAGAGGGCAAAGTTGCTGTAATGTCATTAATTTAGGAAGACACAGCTCAATTTTAGGCGTTTTCCATTCCAATTGTGAACCAACAAATTTGCTCATTCAAAACATTTGTCAGAAGTTTGCTAATTGGCTAAAAAACACCAAAGAAAAGAAAATGCACACATAAAAACAAAACATTTTCTGAGAAATTTGGTGAGAAATTGCTGTATGGGGTTTCTGCCTAAAATTAGTCACACTTTTGCTAATAAATATGGAAATTTGTATAAGCATAAAAACAAAGGACGTACCAAAATACCCCTAACATGACCATATTAAAATTAATAATAAGGTACAATGGGACACATTAAAGGTGATGTTCAAGGATTGCATTAAAAAAATATGGGCCACTTAACCCTTTATTTGCACTCCTATGCAGAGGCACTGAACGATTGTTTTTAAGCATTTATCTCAAAAACATTACTCAAATCCTGTAAGATACTTGCCTTTTTGCTGTTTGATGGGAGAGAGTTCTCTATGGCATAAAAATCATTCACCACGAACCTCCAGTATGGCTTGGTGCACAGCTCTTTTCTTATGTGAGTGAAAATGTCATTTATCTGCAAATTGAAAAAATCCAAAAAAAGCAAGACATTTTTATAGAAAGGTCTTTCACTGTTGTTCCTGACCCTAAACAATATTTTGGGGAGAATCAGATTGATCTAAATAGAGTGCGTAATCAAAAAACAAACTTTATACGGAAGCAATAACGCCACGTCAGTGTAACAAGGTCATAACTCCATTCTGTGAATACGCTCCATGCAACAAGTTCCTATCTCGACGTCCGTTGACATTTTGTGTACATCCAGGTTATTTTTAGTGAGATACAACCTTTTGACATTCTGAAACTCATGATTCACGTACGGCCCATTTTAGGAGATACGACCTTGTTGCATGGACACGGTCTCAAGGCCGGCCTCGCCCTTGAGGCCGATTTTCATGGACTCGGCCTCTTCCTTGGCCTCGGAGTGCAAGGCCTCGGCCTCGGAGCCTTACGGCCTCGGCGAATCGGTCGAGGCCGGCTCGAGGCCGCCCATTTTGATATGTTTTCCATTCTAATCAATTTTAATTTTTTACCGTATCAAACCCTCAAGATTCTGCCGCAGTGGGTTCCGTGAAACGAACGCATATACAATGTACGCACGAATGAACTGGAAATGGTTGCATTGAACGTACTCACGTACATAGCATCTTCGCCTAGCCTGCGCTTCAGCTTTCCACGTGCGTGCAAGCGTTATAACTGTTACCGCGTGCCAGACTACATAAGTCTGCGTAACCAATCCCATTTGCGTACAATAACATGTGGTAGTAGAATAGTCTGGTCGCAGTGTTGTACAAAGTTTTCTCGTTTCGCCTCTGTACCCAGACCTTTAAAAATGATTTGCGGCAAGGTGCGGCAAGCTTAATCATTTCTTTTTATATGCCACTGTTTCAGTAAAAGTCTGAACTTTCTGGGTACGATCGAGTGTACTAGTCCGTACCATTTTTTTTTTCATAAAGATATGATAAAAACAATTACGATTTATCAAGTAGATTTTATTTTTACACGGTGATTTAAATGAAAGTTCCGGCTCACACGGTAATGTTTGGTGCAAATGGTCGATATGGAAAGCGCAATTTCAGAATTCGTTTTTCCATCCAAATGAATGCAAAGTTCTGAATGAATGTTTTAATAATAGGAGTCAGTATTCCTCGTGGTACCAGGATACTTTTTTTGTATTTTTAGAGCCATATGTTGATACTTATTACATGTATAAGCATGGTTGAAATTGACTAATTTTGCGTGGTTACAGATATACGGCCAAAACCTCTGGACTCCCTACCTCTTGCTATGATCTTAAAATTCCTCGAAGCCATTGGATTCAAATCGGATGATCCGTGAATTCATGGTCATTTTGATGAACTGAGTGATATCATGCACGTTCCATGTTGCCGTGTTGTTTGGAGCGGGATTGGCCATTGCCAGACTTTGTCTGGTACCGCGGTATTAACAGTGATTATGCGTGGACACTTATCCCGCTATGTGGAGCGGGATTGGAACTATGCTTTGCCCGTGCGTAACGGCGGGCCGTCTGGCATTGTCTGGTCGCATCGCGGTGTTTGCTCGGCGCGCGCCTGGACTGTGCGAAGGTCGGGGGGGGGGGGGTCGTAACCTTTTGGTTAAGAGTGGTAAAAACCTGATTCAAAAATCAAGTTGTTGTTTATTTAATGGGGATTCCTATGATATTAAGCATTTTGATAGGTTTTGAAAATAAGATTTATAAAACATGCTAAAAGTAAATGATGTAAATCTTACAGAATAGAAACTCAAAATTTGGCCATTTAAATTGTTGTATCTCCAAAGGGCAAACACCTATGAGCCGGATTCAAATGCCATTGATTTTGTTGTGTAATTTGCTTTCAGTGATACAAAACTTGAGATTTTTTTTTTTTAATAAAATTTGCCGGACTCCCTACAAGAGGAAACCCATTGCAAGCTGTAAATTTGTAAGCCAGGCACTCCAAAACTCAGTGAATTCAACTAAAAAGATGTTAAAACTCCAATATAATATTAGCCTTGTTTTAGTGATTTATATTTTATTACGTGTTTTGATAGCTGGCCTCGGCCTCGGCCTTGGCCTCGGAGGTGGTGGCCTCGGCCTTGGCCTTGGCCTCGCGGTTGTGGCCTCGGAGGTTGTGGCCTCGGCCTTGGCCTCGGCCTCAGAGGTTGTGGCCTTGACTACAACACTGGTAAACACAGCCTACCAGGACTTTGCGTTCCTTGTCTGGCATGTCCTCTCCCCCTACGCTGTTTCTGTGAGTCCCAACTAAGAAGATTGGTGGGGACTTCTGGTCCAGTCTGACTTGGGAAGGGTTCTCCTTGGTGTAGGTGTACACGGAACGCATCCAGAAATCCAGATACTGAATGGGGGTCATTGCCTGTCCCTGCTTAAAGAAAAGAAGATGAACAAAGAATCATCAATATCAAATCTATAATCACTATGTTAAAAACAGTGACACAAACATTATACTGACACGATAATAGAACATTTAACAACTAAAAAAAAATACCAAGTTAATCAAAAACAACTTACAATCTGAAAAGTTGATAAGTCTATATAGTTGTTGATAAGCCAATATAGGGCAAGTTCGCGCAAGAACTATTGTTGACCTTAGCCCGAACTCTGTCTGGTTGACGGTGGTTGACCACGCTGGTCGACTATTTGGAACCAACCTACTGGGGCTGGTTGCATCGCTGGTTACCAATAGCCGCGCGCATTCATAACGCTAGCAGAGAGCCAGGATCCAGAAGTTTTGCGATGACATTTTGACGAGTGTTTGACTAGAGACATTCGCACATTGCTACAAGTGGGCAGGCGTAAGTTACGTCACAAATCAACCACTAGTCCACTAATGGTCCTTGCCCAAGTTTGCTCATTGCTGTTATGTTTTTCTCATTGGGTTACTGAAGACACATATTACAAGGCGCTTGCTGAATGGTCAGAATCTTGAAGTCAAGACGCCGCGTTGTTTGTTTATTCTGCACTCATATCATTATATATGACTTGAAGTGTTACATGACGGATGAGATAGAGTAGAAAGATTGCGGATAACAACATGTGGAAAGAAATCTCTTCTTGGAAGAAGTGTGGTTCTGATAAGAACCGGTTGGTTGAGTGTAGAATTCAACCTTTCGGAGAGTGTGCTCTGTCCGTCATCGGGTGGGTGAGGACGGACAGAGCACACTGTCCGAAACATTGAGTTCTACACTCAACCAACCGGTTCTTTTCAGAACCACACTTCTTCCAAGAAGAGATTTCTTTCCATACGTGGTACCCGCAATTTTTCTATTAATTTTGACTCTTACTATTGCTGTGCAAGCGTCTAGTAGCTCCTAAAAAGACTTTCTACAAACGAACCCCACTGGAAATGAAGTCTTCAGACTTTTGAGGACTACCCTACCGATTTTTATCTCATTAAGTACAAATGTATCAAACTACAAAACATATGAATGTGTGCGAAGTATGTCACTTTTCAAGAGTATGTTTCTTACCTGCGCAGTTGAAGAACAATCAGGAACTGGTTTGTTGAGATCATGGCAGAGATTGAACACCACCACATAGATGGCCCGGGAAGACAGAAATGTCTACAATAAATGGGAATAAAACATGATTACGCACGTCTAGTAGATTAAAGCTAATCCCAAACAAATTTGGCCCAACAAGGAGTTTCCATACTAATTAACCCCAGTCAAATTTTAGGGCGGAAGTTATTAAGCAAGTCTAATTCACAATTGGCATTCCGTCTGTGAGACGGTCAGCGAGAAACTTGTGAATTAGACTTGCTTAATGACTTCGACCCTAAAATGTATAGGCTGGCTCTCTGGAATGAGCAAAGTCACATTTTTGGGCCACGGTAAGGCTAAATCAAGTCTAATTAACAGTGAGAGAGTCAATGAGTGAGTGAGTTGGTCAGTCAGTGATAGAGAGGCAAAGACGACTGTGGGCTGGCCCTCTGGAACTTATAATACGTCAGAACATATCGTATATCAGAGTTGTAATGACTTGAGTCAATGACTCGACTTGAGTTTGACTCGAGTCACGATTTTTGGTGACTCGACTTGATTCCCTAAGGGTGACTCGACTTGAGTCCCCAAGGGTAAGTAACTCAACTCAAATCGAGTCACTGTGAGGATATGATTCGACTCAACTCGCTCATCAGAAGACTCAGATATTCGTGACTCCAGCTAAATATTTGACTCGACTCAAGTCGACAACACACTGTGACTCGACTTGACTCGACCTTCTTGACCTAATGACTCGACTCGACACATGTCACTTCTTTGAAATGACTTGACTCAAGTGACAAAAATGAGCGACTCGTTACAACACTGACATTTCTCTCTTACATTGCTGTTAAAAAGTATTCAAGACCAATTTCTGTACTTTTCGGCAGAGTGAAGAAATGAAAGATACCTGATGGGTAGTGTAATATAAATCTTGACCAGCAAAGTCCCAGATGCTCAGAACTATTGGCTCCTCCATGTTGCCGGATTCTTGTCTTCTCCTCAACTTTTTTTTCTTGATTTTGTCTGCTGTAAAAAAAAAAATAGAAAAATACATTTATAGATATCCCATACACATCATTTCAATCTCACATTTGCTTTTTGCTCTTATCTTGTTTTTTTTTCCAATTTAATTCAGATGTGCATACAATAAGGCTATGTGGGAACCACAACTTTTTTCCTGAATGTGAACCTTAACTTAATGTTAAAACAGGGTGTAGACAGTATTCTGAGCCAAAAAACTTGAAATTGCTATATAGGCCTATGTGAGTCATTCTATAAATTGGGTGTCCACTTTTTCTCATCCCTGTTACATTTTTTTTGGTATTCTTTATTTTTTATTCTTCCTTCTTATCTTTCCCTTGTTTTCCCCTTTGGCCTTATTTTCTGCCCTCCTTTTTTCCCTTTTTTTATATAGGACCTGGTTTTCCTGTGTAGGATGGCTCTGTAGAGGTACTAGCTAGTCACCTGTTCCATCTTCCCAGTCACTGGCTTAATTTGTTAACAGGCAATAACTCTTTTTTTTAACGATTAATTCTCTGTAATTTTAATCTATGATTCTGTATATATCTTGTAATGTTTTTTTATGTCGGCCAGTGGAGAAGAGCAATAAAATCAAAATAAATAAATAAATAAATAAATACATGTGTCATTTAGAAATTTATAATTCTTGCTGCATTCCTGATTAATGCAGTTCCCACAAGACTAAACTCAACAAATAAAGCATCTTTCAAAGTCATTCTTAATGATACTTGAATAGAAAATTACAAAGTTCAGATGCAACGTACAGGGACAAGAACAATGTCAAACTTTGGACCCAAAATTGATAGAATCACCCATGTAGGTATATAAAGCTTGCAATTAAATTATCATTTTGCTTTAGTCCAACCTTCAGTATGTGTTGCTGCCTGTCCTTGTGAAGAAAGTGGTTCTGATCCTGCATCGCCTGAGGCATTCTTGGTACAACACAAACAAATAGCATTGGAAATGTGTCATTGGAGTTTTAGTGCAAGCAGGAATAAAAACATCGATGTTATACTAGTTTTATGTGGCCTGTGAACAATACACATCAGTGTGCTTCACTGTGGCATCTTCGAAATTCGTTGCTGAAGCATCACATTACAAGAAAACTGGGATCTTAATACAAATGTAGATTAACGTACATCATAAGAACATTGTGTGTTTAAAAGTTCGCTTTACAATGCTCTCATACCCGTATTAGTTTTTCATGAGCTAGAAGTTGTTCCATCACTTTCTGATTGATATTGTAGTCCACTTCACTGGCCACACCCTGCTTGTATTCCTGTTGAAAGCTGGTTGGGTCATTGGACTCACCTGAAGAAAATCAAACAGTTTGCAGCAATTATTTAGCTGTTAAGGGCATACCGGTAAATAGGCCTAAACCCGTCCGCAGAGCTCATGAATAAAAGTCATACCCTCAAAATATTCTATATTAGAGAGTTCTGAGAGCAACAAAATTGGGGGATATTGGCAATAAAACTCTGGCCCGGACTGGGAGCTTCCAATTCTGAGCAATTTGGATGCAATTGGGCTCGAAAGTGGTGCTATTTTACCATGTTGTGGAGGGATCATTTTTCAAGTGTCTACTTTTCCACAAAAAAAGAGGCCGTCTTAATTGGGTGAAAATTTCTCGAAAATTCATTGGTCAACCCACCAAAAAAAATTAAAAGGATATGAAAGATGACATGTTGATTATCATATTTCTGTGCAGCTTAAATACCTGTGAGAGTTCTGAGTATTTTTAAAAGAATTTTGAAGTATGGGCATTTAGCACTGGTGTATGGGAATGTTAATACAGGGGTGCATCCTTTGCCCCTTCTTTAGTGAGCTATATATAGTGGTATGCAGGTGAGTAAAGCCGCCTTTGAACATTGTTTTAAGTCAAGCTATCAAGCAGACCCAGGTGAAAAAGTAGAACAGTTAAAAACAAGTTAAAAGTAAAACTTTGGAGGATAAGAGTAGGCTTTCGCAGGCTTCCAAGATTAGTTTTCATCGATACTAACCCATATCCACAGCATCGTAAGCCTCATTTTGGGCATGTTCTGTACTCACAACACTAGTGCCAGATCCTGAACCAAGCTCTTGAAAGTACAGTTAATTTCAGTGCTCCTGATCAGAGCCCAAGCCCTTTGTGATTAACGTATGACAGTGTGTAACGCTGCTATGAAAATATTCAATGAGATATTATTTTTTTGAGTTGTGCATCTGGGACAAAAAAGTAGGAAAAAGTAAGAATTTCAAGAAAAAAATAGGGAAAAAAAAGTCAGAAAAAGTAGGAACAGGCCTATACTTGAAAGCCTGAAATATACAACAGACACAGAATAGAATGAAAATGTACATTTGGACAGAAGGTTTCAGTGATTCACATTGATGGTACCCGGGCCTCTTATAATAACTGATTAACCTAAATTATAACATGTATAATAATTTTTAATGAACTTACTTTGTTCAGGGGGTTGTTGCTACTCGATGATGAAAATTTACACTTTAGTTATTGCTATATCTTTTCTACCTATAGTGAGAATTTTTAAGCTCTGGCAGAAGCTTCTTCGTGGTCGGTCGGTTGGTAGGTCTGTCCCCGGAAAATTGACCAAAAATGAGCCCTCTAAGTTTCAGCTATGTCTAAGTTTCAGCCACAGGGGTGTGAGTGGCCACTGATAAAAATAGCTGAAAACAGCTGGAAAAGGTGTAAAAAAGCTGAACTTTGGAAATCTCCTGAACACACAATAAGTGAGGGAAATAAAGCTGAAATCCAAAACAAAAAAGCCGAAATCAGCTTCAAAGCTGAGATTTCACACCCCTGCAGCCAGGTAAGTTCAGCCACGTGTATATCAGCATTACAGGGACCAATTTGTGCTGAATGAATTTAAAACGGGGAATTCTCTACCTCCTTCCTGGTGCAGACGCCAAGATGTTGCATGTTGGATGTCTATGTTGCAAATTAATGATGACGTGATGCCTTCTGTTGATGATTCATTCCTGTTGAAACTGAATGTATCATGAACATAAAAATGCATTTTCACTTTGTACCTGATGGACTTAATTCCACCAGCATCTGACTTCCTCACTGGCTGACTTACTGTCAATTCTGTCAATTGTGAACTACAATAGCTTATACCAGAAATTAAACTTAAATATCTATCATTTCGCCCAAACGCCTTGGGCAATGGGCTTACCTGAAAATACCGGGAAAAAGTGTACAGTCTATGGAGACAAGTCCAGTGCATTTTCAAAATTGAAATGTTTCTCAGTCCGAGATTCGTATCTTTTCAATATATTTGCAATGACCGACCTTCATTATGAAATCATTAAATGATGAAAAAGTGGCGTCATCAGGATGCAACATTCTTTTCGATACGCCAATTAATGGACAAAATCTGATCCCATAAATATGTCGGCTGCATAGATGAAATAATTTGCAGTGAATATAGCCATTCTGAATTAAATGAATAGATTATATAGTACACTCTGGGACTAGTTTCTCTACGTTTGCCTTGTCTATCTTTTTTGTTTAGGGTATGTACATTCTTTGCATCAGTGCCAGACCAACTACATATCAACATGACCAACAACCGTGTAGTAAAATATACTCATTAAAAAGAAATACTACAACACACCTTTGACGAGTAAGATTCCTCATCAGGCTTGTTTTCCCAACCCGTTCTTGACCAACAATCATGAGCCGTGTGCGGTGGATCTCTTTACTTCCTGCTTCAAGTGCTTTCTTGTAAGCTTCCTGAGCATCTGGCTCACTTATTTCAATAGGGTAAGCTGGTTGACTTATCCCAATAGGCAGAGCTATATAATAAAACAAAGATACATTGTACATTCAAACTTATGTAACACTGATCACTTTTCGCTGAAGCTGGCATTTCAGGGGGCTTTTTTTGGTACAAAAGTATGCAGGCCACTGATACGGCAGTGCGATATGGTTCAGCCTACGGCTCAGTGGCGTAACCAGGCTTGAATTTAATAGTTAAGTACAGCGATTATTTTTTTGCCAGCCTTGACTTCATGGATGTGTGTGTGTTCCTTCACTTACCCCTAGCCATGAGGACGTGGGCATCGCGAGGGGGGGGGGGGGGGGGGGGGGGGGGGGGTGGAAAAATGATCAATCGAGAACATTCTTGAAAATTACAGGGATTTTTTTTTGGGGGGGGGGGGGGTGGGGGGGGGGGGAATGTATTTTGCCCCACTCCAGCAGAAAAAAAATCCTGGAGACACCCATGCACGCATGAGGAATACGTAAACAACGTGGCTATTCAGAGCATACTGCGAGTGTAGTTTGAAGACTGCAAGCCCTATCCTGTGCATCACGTCACGTACAACATATTTTTTCACAACTGCGCAATGAACTATATGGATTCTAGATGCATCGTTTTTTCCAAAAAAAACCTGTATCTTGTATTGCTAAGGCAAAGCGTCTGACGTTGTTAAGCAAAGCTAATCCGATTACGTACATAGGCGCTATAGAAGAGCAGTGGAATTTATGCACCACAAAAAACATGGCCTTTTGAACGTTGTGTTTCTCAAAAAATATACCAAACATCATGTCAGTGAAAAAAATTGCCATCATCGATGCCAAAACGTCAATACTCAGGTTTCTGGTATAGCTGACCTACAAGTCTGGAAGAAATCGTTCGAAAACTTCCCCAAATCTATGTATTTATGTCAATTTCTAGGAACTTCTCCAAATTGTTATTTCACGAGTAGTTGGACACTTATATCATCTAAGTATATTCCGAATTTCAGCTTCATCTGTTGTTGCAAATGCTAGTACACCTTGAACTATCTTCAAGGAAAATTTCGACGAGGATTTTCTGCAAACCAGATTTGTGGGTTTTTTTGCGATAAACAACATGGCAGCCATCGCGTGTATTTTTGTGCGAGATCCGGCCAAATATACAGAAAAATCTATTCATAACAAAGCTGAAATCACCATTTTATTAATCATTAATTGTTTTCAATATTGAAAAACATTGTACGAAGTTTTGCGTGCTTGCAGGGCAATTTCCTCTTCTGTTTCAACTACAAAGCTGCATGCTGGAAACCTGGAAAAGCCATTGAAAACTCCTGAGCATTTGACCTAAAATATCTGTGCCATTACTTTGTTCTTCAGTGTACATGCCGATACATGTTTATTGAATAATCATTCAACAATTAAAATTCCAAATTTGGGGGAGGGTGGGTCCAAAATAATTAAGAACAAAATCTAAATGTTTTAACATTTGACTTTTCTGAATGGCCCATACAAGTTTTATCTAACTACATTGTACATCAAACCTGTAGAAACAGATTTTTGGGGATTCTAAAACTAAAACCATAAGGTGATTTTCAAGTCACACCTTTTCCAAACCAGAATTTTGTTGCTTATCTTTGACACAGCCCATGTACCAATATCTGGTTAATCCCTTCATTTGCAAAACCACAGGTGATGGGCCAGTCCATCCTCTCTGGACACACACACAAACATTTGTGCACCGATTTCAATGATGAAAAAAAGAAAAAAAGGAAAAGATGGTATCAATTCTTGACATAAAAAAATTGTACACTAGAAAATAATCTATTTAAAATATGTGTATGTTTAATTAGGCCGCTCAGGAAGGATTTAGGCAAACCTAACAAGTGATATACTAATTGCTTCCTGCTGGTTGTGAGCATTCGACCAGGAATCAACTCCCCCAGTGGATACAATTTTGAGATAAGAGAGAGTTGATATCCTGGTACGTTAAAAACCGAATATGAGCCTTGTCCTCATGCAGGTTTGTCTTAAAAGAGCGATTCACGGGATGAAAATGGCGTTTATCAAGTTTTGGAAATAAACTCTTCTTTGACATGTGCCCCTCCTAGTTTGCCCTCTAACTCCGCCTTGTCACACAAGTCAGTTTCACAACACAGAACAGACGGGACTCTAATTGTATGAGTCTTTTCTTAACTTTTGTTAACTGTTGAATAAGGAAATAAATCTGTGCTTGGCCGGTTTTAAACATATGTTTAAGACCGGTTGGAGTCTGGATGCTGATGATGAGGGTAATTATCAGCATCCAGACTTATTAGTGGTATTAAACATAGTTTTTAATACCGGCCAAGCACATATTTATTCCCATTCATAAATACCTTTTCGGTCAAAAAATCAAAACATGTGGGTCAAAAAATTACAAATTTCTTCTGACGATTCAACAAATTTACTTTTTTCAGGACAGCTGACCGTACTTTTCGGAACATAGGCTGTGCGGAAAATAAGCCGTAGCACGCAATAATCTGCAAATTAAGATTTGTAATGGTTTGTCCAGTATTGCGAGTGGTGGTAAACAGCATCTTATATGGAGACTAGCGCGCACACGTCATGCGTACTGGCGCAGAATGCAGCTGTGTTTCGGTGTGTAGTGAATTTAGGACTATGAAATGCTGACTCGCTGGTAGTGTTGTGCATGCCCACATACTATGGGTGGCCAAACGGGCAAAATTAATAAATTTTAAAGGACAAACAACAATAAAAACAAACTAATGACAATTAAAGGACAAAGCAGCAATCAAACAACAAACACCAATATTTGTCCTTCATTTAAAACCGGCCACGTGAGAGGCTCTAAAGTCTCGACCAATAGGAATGGCTAAACTGTCTTATCGGTTGGAATTTATGAATTAAAACTTTCACCTAAATATTTATGAAACTCACACGATAACATCTGCTGCATTTCTCCTTGGTGTGCTTATATGCAGAACAAAAGGAAAAAGCAAAGAAAATAATCATGATGTAGTGTAAATGTCCAACAGCAAAATTCACCAGATAAAAATGAAAATGCTAAAAAATAGTTAGTGGCCTGACGTTTCGACCCTAGCAGAGTCTTTCTCGAAGGCTAAATGACAAGACTATAAACATAAACTGTTTATGTTTATAATCTTGTCATTTAGCCTTCGAGAAAGACTCTGCTAGGGTCGAAACGTCAGGCCACTAACTATTTTTTTGCATTTATACTATAGGTCCTTTTGGTTGGTAAGCAGTTTGCAACAGCTAATTCTATTTTTCAAAAATGGAAATGCTGAACATATAACTGAAAGACATACACAAATTTCTAATTATTGGTATTTCTAAAAATGATGGTATTATCGATTTAAGAATGCAAAGTTTCGAGGTTATTGTTTTTCACAACAAAACAATAATGAAATAGAACACAGTACGTTGCAGGTAATAAGTTAATTAGGGAATAACAATACGAGAACCCGGTCTTCACTGTGTGATAATGACAGGGTTGGGGGCATAAACAGCAGCCATTAATAAATATCTTTTTAATGAAATAAACAGTTAAAATGCTCCCAATTTGTGACCTTGTTTTTTTTGGAGGGGGGGGGGGCTATAATTTGCAGACTTTTTGTGTTCATGTTCTGGGGCCATAATTTTACCTTATGCATGCTACCCTAGTCTCTTCAAAATGCGTGGTTATTATCACCCTAGCCAGCCCAGGTTGGGCAACGTCTTCACTGACGTAAAGGGTATGAACTTTTGCTGCCATAGCCAAAAAAAATTCCAACAATTTCTTTTTCATATTTTTACCTGACAGAGGAAGCTAGGCCGATTCCTCACGTCCACTAATTAATTATGTCATGTGAAGACTTAACATGTGCTCATGCATCCGCATAGCAACTGTGTTGTATACACGCACGTAAGTCTTCACACGATGGTTGTTGAGCGCAGCGTACTGCTGCATTGTTACAAGCTACCGTAGGACTGTTGTATACATTTTGCCAATAATATGCTTGATCAGTGCTGGTTCAGGGGCCATTTATTGGCTTGTTCTGGAAGCTCCCTCTTAGTCACATGTTAATATACCCCAAGTGATCGAGTACCGACAAATAGCTATCAACTCTACAAGGTATTTTTAATGCGTGTTCAACCAATACGGGCCAAAACAATTTGCAACTGAAAGAGTACAAATTAATCAAAAAGAGTACTTACATTTAAAATATTCATTAATCTTCGATAAAGCCTCTGCTATAATTGGAAGTATATCAATCCGAAAAAGCACACGTGCGATCCATTCCAAGGCATCAATAAATGTAATGGCTGGTAATTTCCCTGTCAAAATTGTTTGTTGTGGATGAAGCAGTTCCAGAAATGCTCTGAGCGTTGTTACATTATTCAACTCATTCTCGGCGAATCCAAGTGCATTATATATATCCAGAAAACCTTTGATATTGCTTGTGCGTATTATTTTCTTTATTTTGGGCAGGTCTTCATCACTTAATTTATTACAAAAGGTGTTGAACAGTTCATCTGCTATGTCATTCAGGTCATTTGTGTGTTGAATCATATACTCCATCTCTATACTCCAAGAGTTTCCAATCTCAACCGTTCCAACTTAGAGAAGAGGCATCACTTCCTGTAAACTGACAGAAAAATGAAAACATAAAGATCATATTTCAGTGTCTGAGAGTGCACACAGTACAGAGACACTGAAACACCATCATATGCTGTTGGGTCGAGGAGCACACAATGAATGTATGGGTAGGAATGTCAACACTGTTTGGATATTTGTTCCCCCAGGGTACACAAGCGGTAAAAAAAAATTGCATTCATAAATACCTCAGACAGTTTACGCATTTCTATTGGTCGAAAGCCCGTCACGTTGCCAGTCTTAAACGAATGATAAAGACATGGCTATAGCTGGTCTTAAACACTTCTCCAGTGTCACATGAAATTTGGACTCCCATGAAATCCGGTGCCTTTTAACGTTTCATTGGTTGAACGTTCACATTTCTCACGTAGGCATGCGCAATGTACTACCAGTGAA